CTCCGGAGGGCTTGCAAGAGAAGGAGAATCCCTCTCAACTATGAAGGCCCATGCCAGAAAGGCTAGACACATTGACAATTTGCGCCCATCCAAGGCACACAAGCAAGGAAATAATGAGGTCNCTATGAAGGCCCATGCCAGAAAGGCTAGACACATTGACAATTTGCGCCCATCCAAGGCACACAAGCAAGGAAATAATGAGGTCATATCCTTTTTAGACAAGGACATAGAAGGAATTTAGCACCCCTACGACAACCTATTGGTGCTGACAATGACCGTTGCCAATTTTCAAGTGCGAAGGATTCTTTTAGACAGTTACAGCTCAACAAACATCTTGTTCATAGAAGCCTATGACAAGCTCTCACTCGGAAGAGAAAGACTATAGCCTATCAGGTCGCCCCTTATTGGATTCTCAAGGGGAAAAAGTGTACCCATTAGGATCTATCACCTTACGAGTTACTGTCAGCATAGCACCCCGAAGCTCCACGATCATGGTGAACTTCTTGTTAATAGATTGTCCATTAACCTACAACTTCATCCTAGGGCAACCCGCTCTCAACACGCTAAGAGTTGTGCCCTCCACCTATCATCTTATTCTCTATTTTTCAACACCGAATGAAATCGAAAAGGTCCAAGGAGATCAGGTTGCTACAAGAGAATGCTACGTCTCTTTTATGAAGACCNCTCCACCTATCATCTTATTCTCTATTTTTCAACACCGAATGAAATCGAAAAGGTCCAAGGAGATCAGGTTGCTACAAGAGAATGCTACGTCTCTTTTATGAAGACCAGGAAACCACAAGAAGCCCTACAAGTAGAGGTGCTCGACCCTAGAGATGATATCGTGCTAGAGAGAAGAAAGCAAATGGAAGAGCTTGCACCAGNCCAGGAAACCACAAGAAGCCCTACAAGTAGAGGTGCTCGACCCTAGAGATGATATCATGCTAGAGAGAAGAAAACAAATGGAAGAGCTTGCACCAGTGATCTTAGATGAGAAGTTCCTAGACAGAAATGTGTACATTGACTCCTCCCTTGCTAAGGATATAGCCCACCAACTCACAAATTTTCTGAGACACAATATGGATGTTTTTGTGTGGTCACACGAGGACCTTGATAGCATCGACCCTGAGGTTGCCACCTACCATCTCAATGTTGACCCTTGTTATAAGTCTGTTCGCCAAAAGCTGAGGAGTGTCTCTATGGAAAAGGCGTAAGCAATGGAGAAGGAGGCGGGAAAACTAATGGAGAATAGGGAGATTATAGAAGTGAACTATCCAATTTGGCTATCAAATGTGGTGATGGTGACCAAAGCTAATAGAAAGTGGTGCCTCTGTGTCAACTTTATTGATAGATACTCATTGTCGCAGATCGACATTCTCATCGACGTCACTACAAACCACAAGCTCCTCACTTTCTTGGATGCATACTCTGTGTATAACCATATTAGCATGTATCCACCCAACCAAGAGAAGACATCTTTCATTACTCCAAAGGGAACCTATTGCTACAGGGTCATACCCTTTGGACTGAAAAATGCTGGAGCAATCTACCAACGACTGGTGAACAAGATGTTACAATCACAGATCGGAAGAATCATGGAAGTGTACGTGGATGACATGCTAGTAAAAAGCCTTGACGCAACAGACCACGTAGATCACCTTCAGGAAACATTTGAAGTTCTTCGATCATACCATATGAAGCTGAATCCTGAGAAGTGCGCTTTTGGCATCAGATCAGGAAAGTTCTTGGACTTCATGGTCAACCAAAGGGGAATTAAGGCGAATACATATAAAATAAAAGTCATTCTCGACATGAGATCTCCCACTACAACCAAGCTTAGACTTATTCTTCTTACAACCAAGCTTGCCTTTATAGTGTTTGGTAATCTTGCCTGCCTTGGGCCCACTTGTGTTACCTTTCCTTGCGTGCTTGTGTTTCCTTTTACTTTGTGCTTAGGCCCATTAGCCCTATGCTTGCTATCCTTGGGCGATCAAGGTAGTGGGATAGTTTGACTCTTTGAACTCCGTCTTGAGCTAAACATGAAGCATTATATCAGACAATTTTTTGATATTATCATTATGTGTCATGATCTGTTTTGGGCAAGGACCTAATCACAACCTAGATCTGCGCTTATCCATAAGAACATTCCTAACAACCTTCACATCACAAATAATGCCTGACATCACTATAAGGTGCTCATTCATTGTGTGTTTGGGATCACTCCCCTACATCTCAAACTTCAGAATAAAGGCCAAAGCCAAAATTCTATTGGCGCCATAATTCCTTGGCAATATTGTAGTCCTCATATTCCCTATTGAGATCGTAATGCATGTTGCATAGCAAAATATGGTGGGCGTTGCAATCTCCCTTAATCCAAAGTGGGTAGGTCCCAAGGTCTCATCCTAGTTAACTAATCCTAGATTTTTTGCTCATCAACATGTATTGATTTTTTCTATATCAAATGTTGTAATTGATAATGTTTGCCTTGTCTCCATTATTAAGGCCTGTATAATGTGAATGGAAGCCATCACTACATTCATAATGCGCAAAAATTTGACTCCCAATTAGAGAATATGATATTTTCTCACACATTGAGATCGAAAATCTTCTAAAACTTGTAATAATCTCCCAAGTGTGGAAGTTAGAAGATTGAACATATGTTGCAAAAATTTGATTTATTGTTGTCTAGAGAGACAAAGAGTTCCCTTTTTATTAGTCTCTCTTCCTTGTTTGATTAGGATTAGAAGACCCCACGATTAATTCCCATTAAGAGACATAGGTCATTCCCTTATCTAAGTGAGACCCATCAACCCATGTGGGTGGATCATAGGTTTGGATTGAAAGAAAATCTGACCTAATTATTAAAATTTCTAATTTCAAAATGCGAGTTTATAGAGGTTGTTGGATTTTGGGGTAGTGTCCAACCCATGTGCCCAATGAATGTGCAACCTTGTTTAGGAAGAATCCATGTTTATTTGAATTAATTTTAGAATATTAAAATTTTCCTTAATCCAAAGAATATTAAATCCATAATTTTTCAGTAACTCTTTTCTATTGGATTAATCCAAAGATTATTCGATGGAATCAATTGAAATTAACTTTGTTGCATTTGATTGATATGATATTATTGATTAGAAGTCATTGTAAATTTGCAATGAAGTTTACACTCCATTTGGTAATATTGTAATTTGGAGAACAACTGATATAAAAATGCTGACCGGTCGCTCTTCATTCACATGTTTTTCTTGTTTATTAAAATAGTCTCGGGCCTTTCCCTCAATCGTAGAGGTGCTCCACATAAACACAGAACCATCAAATAAAATAGGTTAAATTTACATTTTGACCTGCTCAACTATGTCTTTTATTTTCTAGGTTAATTGCATCGGAGATTTTTATGGTATATAATTTATTTTATTTTGACTTTCAATATATTAATTGTATCATTTTAGTTCCTGAACTATTGAATATGTTTTTATGTTANACATGAAGCTGAATTCTGAGAAGTGCGCTTTTGGCATCAGATCAGGAAAGTTTTTGGACTTCATGGTCAACCAAAGGGGAATTAAGGTGAATACATATAAAATAAAAGTCATTCTCGACATGAGATCTCCCACTACAACCAAGCTTAGACTTATTCTTCTTACAACCAAGCTTGCCTTTATAGTGTTTGGTAATCTTGCCTGCCTTGGGCCCACTTGTGTTACCTTTCCTTGCGTGCTTGTGTTTCCTTTTACTTTGTGCTTAGGCCCATTAGCCCTATGCTTGCTATCCTTGGGCGATCAAGGTAGTGGGATAGTTTGACTCTTTGAACTCCGTCTTGAGCTAAACATGAAGCATTATATCAGACAATTTTTTGATATTATCATTATGTGTCNATCCCTCAAGCGGACAACATTCAAATTATTAAAGGGTTTTTATCATAAACTTGTCACGTGATATCTAAATATAGACACAAAATAATTTGGANGTCCCTCAAGCGGACAACATCCAAATTATTAAAAGGTTTTTATCATAAACTTGTCACGTGATATCTAAATATAGACACAAAATAATTTGGATAGCTCTCGATTAAAATTTGGGTGGCTCTTGATAAAAAATGTGTAATTTGAGTAGTTCTTGACTAAAATTTAGATAACTTAGGATCAAAATTGTTTAATTTGGGTAGCTTTTTAATCAAAATTTAGATAAAAATTTAGTCAAACCCAAATAATTTTTTTTATTCACATTTAGATATTACGTAGCAAATTTATAATAAATATCATTAACAATTTGGACGTTATTTTCTTGACAGACTACATAAAAATTTATTTAATACTTTATAGATTAAAATAATTCAATTAAAATATTATGAATAAAAATGAGACAAACTCCATACTTTGAAAACTTTTAATACTATTAATCATATTTTTTATTATCCCTTTGACCACATTTCTCAAATTACACCTCAATTGTGATTATAGTATATTTCGCATGATATCTAATTATAGTTATTGCTTTCAAATTGATCTAATTTAGACATTCAAAACATATATTTTACTATGCACGTGAGTATTTTTTGACCTAAATAAAATGAATGTTTATTTTTGAGATAGTGTGAATCAATTTAGAGTCTTTTTCTTTATTCAAAGCGTAAGTTAAAACAAACTACACAAGGATCTAGTTTAACCTAAAAAAAGGTGAGAGTAAAACGGAAATGTAATAGATTTATTAAGAATCATGATGATTGAGAGGTTAATATGAGAAATTCAATACTTGAGAGAGAAAATTGAGATTAAAGTCATAGTTGAGGGGACCCAAATAAAATTTGCCCAAAATAAGATTAGCTTCCTTTTGACGTGCCCACGCAATTTTTGGCACTGTCCTCCCACATTTCTTCCCCCCTCTCTCTCTCTGCATATTTGTCTGAAGAGATCGAGTAAGATTGAAGGAGGCAAAAAAGGGAGCTCAAGACGGAGGCGAACAATAAGAAATAGAAGAAAATCAAGCTTTAATAATTGGCCATGGCGTCATCTTTCTTTCGCCTTTTCACAACCATCACATTGGGCATTCTTCTATCGTTTTGTCTTCCGTCGATCTCCGCCGCCGATGACATTTCTCAAGCATCAAATTCTAAGAACCCCAATTGCAGCAACCCTTTCCGATTGGTATTCTTTCTGTCGATCTCGATTAAATAATTGATTAATCAATCAAACACTAATTTAATGAATTTTTGGTTTTGGTTATGATTTTGTTTTCAGGTTAAGGTTAATTTGCTGGTTCATGGTGTTCAAAATGAAACATTGACTGGGATGACTGCCGCGTTTGGTGGTACATTGCCCAATAATGATGAAGAAGGCCTCAGATTGCCTGTTGTTTTCTCAGACCCTATATATGGCTGTTCCAGCTCCTCTTCAAAGGTTTCTTTTTCATATTGTTTGCCAATATTTCACTTTTTTGACTTAGTGCATAAATTTATTGTTTCCTGAGGGTTCTGGAAGGTTAGAACTAAGGTTATACTTACTAGTGTCTCTATTCTTTGTACGAAATAAATTTTTGTGTTCAAACCCACCATGTCATCAATGGTGACATGGTATCACCGTTGCNGGGTTAGAACTAAGGTTATACTTACTAGTGTCTCTATTCTTTGTACGAAGTAAATTTTTGTGTTCAAACCCACCATGTCATCAATGGTGACATGGTATCACCGTTGCATTCAATATCGATATGAGATAAAGCCCACCAAGGTCTACGCGTTGCAGATAACAGAGAAGTCAAGAGGAGTGAAACTGAGTCTTATGTTGAATTTCCCCTATATCTCTGTTCTTCTTTACGGAAAGAAAAAAGTCGATATGGAATAAAGCCTACCAAGGTCTCCACATTGCAGATAACAGGGAAGTCAGGAGGAGTGAAACTGTGTCTTATGTTGAATATCCCCTTTATCTCTTTACATCTTTAAGGAAAGAAAAAAGTTGTCTTCAGTGCGAAGATTCCCGTGGGCTTTGTGCCACATCGAGTAGGTGGGAGTGAGAGTTGTTGTTAATAAGGCTTCATAGGTTCTCTTTCTGTTTATAATTACGTGGATGATGTTATTTTGTGAACTTACAAAACCATACCATCTCTGTAATTGCTGACTGGAGGAGAACCCATGGAGCACTATTAATTAGGGAGAAAGCCCCAGGAGCCGTTGCTTCGGAGGGAAATTGTTCTTTCTTGGGTCCTTTACAAAATGTGTTCAAATGCATCCAGTATTAAAATTCATCATTGAATAAATATGTTGTGCTAAATTTTAGACTTGAGCCTCTCTTAATCTGAAAATAATTTTGGAAAGTTGTTTTGGGAGGAGTTGCTTAATACTTTTGCAAATTAGAAGCCACTTGGTGATGATGAAAGTTTTGTGGTAAAGATATTCGTGAAAATTTCCAAATTTGACGAGTGTTGTCTCTCTTTTTCATTTGTCCTTCTTCAGCTATCTGGTGCTATTGCATTGGCCATACGTGGTGATTGTAATTTCATGATAAAGGCTGAAGTTGCACAATCAGAAGGTGCATCAGGCCTATTGGTGATAAATGACGATGAAGGTATTAATGTTGGACTCACCTGGCGTGGTCTTAGATTTCTGGTGATTTGATTTTACCAAGATGTTTTATCACTGTATTGTTGGCATATCTTTTTACAGATCTTATTGAGATGGGATGTTCTGATGATGATACTAATTCAAACATTACGATTCCTGTTGTCATGATTTCAAAGTCAGGAGGAGAGGCTATTAACAAATCTATGGTAGATGGAGGGAAAGGTGATTTCAGTAATTTTGTCAATATCTCATTCTATAAAAAATGCTGTATATGCAAGTTTTTGAGTTAAGACTCTATTATGTGACCTTCTAAACTCAAAGGATAATAGAGTTATGTTCACTTCGAGAGGAAACAAATTCGTATTCGGGCGGAACTAATCTCCATACTTTTCATAAATAGAAGATGATCAAAGTATTGCTCATTGAGTAGTGAAACATAGATGTAAAGAAGGGTTAGCAATGAAGAGAACAGGTTGCTAGAGTGAACATTATATTGGGCTAATTGGTATATAAACAACCAACTAGTACATTTTAATCCACTTGTACTTCTAATACAATACACATAAAATTCTTAGCTCAATGTACCAACCATAGTCTATTTAAGAGCTTTAAACTAATTATGTCGTAGCCTATGAAACCTTTGAAATAGGTGTATTTTTTCTAGTCTTCCACCTATACTTGTGTACATTTCCCAAAAAAATATGAGTGAATTTCGCACGGCTATTTGACCTTACACTTCTAAAGACTAGCTTCACCTAATCGACGTTAGAAATTGTAATGGAAAGTGTTGGCGTCTGTCTTAAAAAAAAACGTATGTTTCTGGAATTACCTTTGTTTGATATGAGAAAATATTTTGCTGAAGTTAAATTAACTATTTACCTAAGAAAAGTAAAATAAACAACCTAGACCTAATTCATGCTTAAACCCAAACCATGATCCACACCCAACCTTCATATCTATAACCTATGAAAACACAAAAGCACAACTAAATTCATGTTCAAACACAAATCCGTGACCCATACACGTATCAATACTCATATCTATACCCATGAAAAACTCACAACACACAAACTCTTTGATGTAGGACGAAAAGACTAGAAATCAGAGAATAGAAAGACAAGAAGAATAAAGAAGGGGCGGAAGGGATTTACCTCATTTTTACAAGGAATCGGTCAAAAAGCACAGAAATCTCCGCAGAGAATAATCAATTCTTATTTATAATCTCTCTACCATGAAATAGTAGGGGTTATATCAATATTTATAGGCTAAATCTCCTATTAAAATTAAATTTATTCCCCTACTAAATTTCTAAAAGAGTTTTATAATCAACTTCTTATATTTCTATCCTACTAAAACTCTATAATAATTTCCTAGTCAAATTCTAACTAGTACTCCTAATCAAACAAGTATTCCTTAACTAATATAATAATACTAAAAAAAATAATAAAATTCAATTGTTTAATTTAAGCTCATTCAATCCCTTTTCTATCTCTATCAATTTTTCTCAACTGAAAAAAACTCTTCTCCGAAGAGTTGTTGTAACAAGAATACTCTAAGAGAATTGGCATTAGATGGTGAAATACATTGTCAAACCTGATAGCATGGTATTAAGATCGCCCTTCAATGATATAATAAAGGATATCACGATGAGAGAAATCTATATGTCGAAACTTCATAAATCATAACCCTCACACTTTTTTCTAGATAAAAAGGATGGTGACATCTAAAAAAATCACGTTTGAAACTTTCTTAACTTCATTTGTAGGAACACCCTTTGAAATTGGCTTATAAAAAATAATAGGATCAGAAGAACTTTTAAGCCCAACAACATCAAACAATTTTGATTTGCCATCTAACTGGGATGGAACTGGCGATGATTATAAAGTTTGATCAATCACTTGTTGATGATTAATTGATGAAGAAGATCAAGCAATAGCTACCTTGCTTGCAAAGTTCTTATTTGGGAGCTTAACTCTAAATATGGCATCCAACTTGTGTACACTTTCATGTATATATTTCATTGATGTGTGGAGTGAACCCATTGATGCTTGGAGTGAATCTAGCCACGAATCATGTGCTTCAATTCTAGCACTTCCGGGGGCCAAGCTGTAATTTTAGAAACTATTGGGGCCAAACGAAAATTTCAAAAACTTTCGTTGGCAAAGTATAATTTCAAAAAATGTTGGGGTAGAAACTGTAATTTCAAAAATTTCAAGATCCAAACAGTAATTTCAATAACTTTGGGGTCAAATCTCTATTTTTAGAAAGATTCAGGGGTGTTGGTGTAATTTCTAAAATATTGCAAGGTATAACGTGGTTAGGGGCTGATATTTGGGCAGGGCTGAGTTGAGCTAGATAAATGTGGACTATTTTTTTCTTCTATTTGGGCTTCACATTATTTCATGGACGGATGAATTTTTGGCTTAGGCTGATTACTGTTGGAAGAGATTGGTTGCTTTTGGGTCAGTTTAAAGGAAAGACGGATCAGTCTCTTACTTAAAAATAGGATTTGGAGTGGATGTAAGTGGAAGGGGCAACTCCAAGCAAATCACAACAGTGACGAAAATCAATTGCAACCCAAAAAAAAAAAAAATCTGTCAATCTAGTTCTTACCTTTGTGACCCACCTGGATATCTCCAACAAACCAAACACCAACGAATAATTGACAATTTTTTATGATGATGACAATCACAAGGGTAGTAGTGATGTTAATGGCAATGAACGAAGAGAAATATCAATAGAGGGTCGGAGGTTTGATCTGATACCAAATTGATGTAGGACGGGAGGACTAGAAATCAGAAAATAGAAAGAAAAAAAGAAGGAAGAAGGGGTGAAAGAGATTTACGTCATTCTCTCCGGGAATCAGTCAAAAAATACACAAATCTTCCCAAAGAATAATCAATTCTTATTCATAATCTCTACTATAAAATAGTAGGGGTTACGCTAAATATTTATAGGCTAAGTCTCCTACTAAAAAAAAATTTATTCTCCTGTTAAAATTCTAAAAGAGTTTTATAATCAAATTCTTAAATTTCTATTCTACTAAAAAGTTAGATTGTAGATCCATTAGGGTTTAAAGAAGAGAGAAAGGAAGAAGGAAAAATATGAGAAGAGAGTAGTATGTAGGGTTACCCAGTTACATCCCAATATATATATATATATATATATATATACCAAAAATACCCTTAAGGGTTACATCCTAAATAATATGACATAACACTCCGTCAAGTTGTTGCATAAATATCTCTTATGCTCAACTTGCATAAATTCCAACAATTTTGAGACGTTAAATTGGATCACCGCTCTAATACCAAATTAGATTATAGATTTGTTAGGGTTTAGAGAAGAGAGGAAGGAATAAGAAGGAAAAATATGAGAAGAGAGTAGGTGTAGGCCTGTAGGGTTACACAACAACATCCCAATATATATATATATATATATCAACACAAAAGTACCAAAAATATCTTTAAGGGTTTAATCCTAAGTAACATAATATAACATAAAACTCTATAATAATTCCCTAGTCGAACAAATATTCCCTAATTATAATAATACTAAAACAAATAATAAAATTCAATTCTTTAATTTAAGCTCATCCATTCCTTTTCGATTTGTATCACTTTCTCCTTTCACATACACACATACACAGTGGTTTGCGGTGCGGTGGTTGTTGTTAGTGGTGGGTGGTGCTTTGGTGTTGTGAATGAGGATGGGATAAGGGGTGAAGAAGGGGGTGCGGGTGGTGGGTGGTGGTGGTGGGTAAGGTAATTTGGCACTGATTGTATGATTGGATTTAATTTTATTAACACAATTAAATTTTATTTACAATTAGGCATTAATTATGCTTAATGAATTTGGTTAAGGTTAGGGTTTGTGTTAGGTTTTGTGTTTGACTTATATTTGTCTTTTTTTTTTTAATGATGTTTGAGAGAGGACAAAGTAGTCATTATACATTTATACCAACTACGTCTATTGCGGCCAAAGTTTAATCCCAATTAGGGTGGCCGTGTCAACTTTGGAATGTTCGGGGGTGTCCGTGTCATTTAACTTAATTACAGTGGTCCCCATGAAATTTGACCAAAATATTAACATGTTGTGTGTGGTTATTTTCCATTAATATTTTGTATAGGGGTTTTGGGATCTACAAAGTAGATATAGAGAAGACCCCTAAAAATGTGAACAAAGACATTTTTCTTTCTGTGATTTGGAGAAAATTGAATCGGGGGAGCAATCGGGAAAATGAATGGAGGTGTGTATCTCTACTGTAAGGTTCTGTATTTTTAGTGATGTGCCTTAGGAGAGTATATTTTGGGGTTCTTAGTGTCATGAACTTGGCTAGCCTCAATCGCTCTGCTCTTTATTTTGGTAATGGAATCTCTTAGTTGAATGCTAAGGAGAGTGATGTATAGGGGCATCTTCAAAGGATTTGAGGTGGATAGGTGTGCGGGGAAGTGGTATATTTCTCCCATTTTGCTTCATCTTGTGGAGTGGCAAAATAGCTCCCATTACCTTAAGTGTGTGCTTTGACGATTTGAGAAAGCCAGTTGGGGCAGAAGTGAACTTATTGTGTCAGAGAAGAGGGTGGATGTGATAGACAAAGTTGATTATTGGAGATAATGTTGGGGGTTGCCTTCTATATATCGAGGGCTCTTGATGGGGTGTGAGATATTGTGGTGGGGATTTTGAGAGGAGATTAAAGTCATTGTGTATGAAGACATCCTCTCAAACTGCATTGCATACTTTATGCCCTTATTCCCTACACAGGCTTCAGTGGCATAGAGATTAAAAAAGCTTAAAAGGGATTCCTTGTGGTGTTGTCCTCATTTTTTTTTTTTTTTGGGGGGGGGGGGGGGGGGGGGGTTTTGGGGGTNCAAATTTTCATAAGAGCAGCATTTCCAATTTCTCCATAACACAATTAAGTAGTTTGCTTATATAAATATCTAGATAAACTAAATAAACGTTTATTGGTGATGTGGTGCAACAATTACTGTCTTTTTTTTTTTTATTAAAGAATTGCCAGTAAGGCAAAATTAGACAGATTGTCAGCCTAATTTTTAGAAACAGTGGAAAGACCGAGTGTGATTTGTCCTCATTTTTTTTTTTTTTGGGGGGGGGGGGGGGGGGGGGGGGGGGGGGGGGGGGAAGACTTTTAGGGTGTTGTTGGAGCTCATTTGAGGACATCTAACATTGATCCCCAGTTCTATTCCTCTTAATCTTCCTCCCTCTCTCTCCCCTGTCTGCCATGTCATCATTTTTACTACGGCTTTCAAGGTTGTCCGTGCCAGCTGTGTTTTTCTTGTTTCTGTTAGTCTTACCATATACTATAGCCCATGGTTTCGTATATCCATTTGTATGTCTTTTTTTCTTTCGTGGTATGATGCTTCCTCACCTTAGAGTCGGCCTTTTTTCCTTAACTTTTTTTTTCTTAGATAAGGAACAATCTATCTTGTTCATAAACAGGTAATACGTGATAGAGTTGAAGTTGGACAAGATGTCCAAACCACATGAAGTGAAAAAAAAGGACAAAACAGTAATACAACTTGAGTTTTAGCTTCACTTAATCTCGATTACATCTCACAAATAGATCTTCACCATGCCGGAATGCAAAAGGTCATCATGGTACACTTGCAAATTGTGATAATCCTGTTCTATGTACGAAACCACCTCAACATTAGCACTTGGGGAAAGGGAAAATCTGGTTAGGCCCTATGCTCAAGTCCAGGGGTATAGAGACGTTATGTGGGAGGAACCCAGAGAAGGAAGTGGTGAAAATGAATATTGTCGGGGCAGTCCCAGAAGAGAGATAGAGACCACGATATATACTGCTTGCCAACAGCGAGCAAGAGGAGTTTGTGTACTAGGAAGTGGAAAAAGCAATAAATATTCTAGTTTTGGGGAGCATTATGAAAGGCCAAATACAACCAGCTAAATTGGGATTCTGGTGCAAGGTTTCTTGATGTGAATGTAATGGTGTCTGGGCTTGGGGAACTTTCTGTTGATAGAGCAAGAGCACGTGTGTGAATTGTTTGTAGATCTCTCTTATTCCGGAGCAGTTCAAGTCATCATGCCTTGGATCGTGGATTCGGACCTACGGCTTGTGGACTTGGGGCCAAGACATCATGTCCACAAGACAGTTGCAGAGTTGTACTTAGGGACCGCTTTAGCAAGTGTCTGGACTCAGACTCAGTAGAAAAGGGTTATGTTTTGCTGCGGTGCCGTACTGCCAACTAGGTGGGATACAGGGATAGTGATAGCCACCATGAAGCAGACTACCATGTGTTTCTGGACATCCTAAGTCTGTACCAAGGGATTGCACAAGGACTGAAGCAATGCACTGCGTATCAGGTGGAATAGTGAGTAATGTGAAACTGACTTNGACTACCATGTGTTTCTGGACATCCTAAGTCTGTACCAAGGGATTGCACAGGGACTGAAGCAATGCACTGCGTATCAGGTGGAATAGTGAGTAATGTGAAACTGACTTCTGCGTCTATCTGAATGTACAGAGAAGTAACCACTGCTCTTTCCAGATTGGAGTGGGTTGAACAACATGGTATAACTTTACCGGGTGTCTAAAGATTGTTTTTTCAGATCATCATATCATATCTACGTTGTGATTGACATGAAGGTGATGCCAAGTGTTGTGCTCACTCAAAAATTTCTGCACATGTTTTTCTTTGTATCTTTAGAGGACTACTTGTCCTCCATTGTACGATACACTTTTACTTAATTTAATAATACTTTATCATTTCCTATTAAAAATAATTTCTGCAATTGTTGGTTCTAGCTCCAAGAGGAATGCATATTTGGAATTTCACTGGTTGTACACTATTTAATCTACTGTTAAAAACCTAGATTGTTGGGTTCTCTTGAAGGCTTGCATCTGTGTAGCTTCTAAATATGTCCTTAACAATAACATTCGAGGAAGATATAGTGATATAAACATATTGCTGCATGACGAATATTACAAAAGGTTTTTGAGAAATATGTGAAGAAAAGTGGTTGGTTGGACTAACTTCTTGGAATTTGCTAACATTTGCTGAAATGTCGAGGAAGGTCAGATATAAACTCGGAAAGCACATTTGGGTTCAGTGTCAAAATTTGAAACATCAGTGGTGGTTGCCTGAATTATCCTTTTCTTTTGACCAGTAGAAGGAAGGAATATGCTATTGGCTGCTGCATTAGATCACTTTAGTTTTGCCATGTTTGACAAATATGTGCCTGTCAAATGCACATGTTCATAATTTGATATGTATCTGTCAAATGCACATGTTCATAATTTGGGACGTTTACATATGTCAGCTGAATTATATTACTTCTGTTTTGGTTTTCTTCTTTCCATTTGATTATGTGAATATGACTTACCATTTGTTTTTCAATGCAGTGGAACTTCTGTTATATTCGCCAGACCGTCCAATCATCGACTACTCAGTTATATTCTTATGGCTCATGGCTGTTGGGACAATTGTCTGTGCTTCACTTTGGTCAGAGTTTACCGCCTATGAGCAAAGTGATGAGCGATATAATGAATTGTCGCCAAAGGTTCTTAATATAAACCCTTCCATTTTGTGTTGAAGTTGTTTAGCACTTTGGTTCAAATGTTTGCCAGATGTGTACATCTTGCTTTACATAACTCAAATAGGAGCTGTCCTCGAAAAAATTACACTGTCCTTCATTTGCTTACTCAAATATTTTCAAGGATGGATTATTGTTTGGTACACACTTTTGTGCTATCTACCTCTATATCTTTGTTTACCTTCCAGCATATGAACAATATGCATAGCAGCCTGGTTGTGCCAAAAATATGTTTGTTGGCGTGCATTAGAACGTTTTAATTCTAAATTGACCTAACATAAATCATCTTGCATGCTGGATATTCTCTGGAATTTTGCTTGTTTTTCTACTCTTGATCTTGCTTCGCTCTCTTCCACTCAACCAAGTTAGGAACAACAAATGCTTAACATCCAGGCTGACCTTTTATCAGTTGATCTCTAACCAATCTACTGTAAAATGGCCCAAGACAGGAAGAGAAGTGGAAAAAAAATGACCAATGAACCTTTTCTTGGGGCACCATAAGAGGTGCCTCAAGATACCAAAACAACTTCATGATGTTGTTGCCTTGGATTTCAGGTATATTGACCAGTAACTCCACTTTCAAATCCAATTTTTGGATGATACGTGCATAAATAAGCTTTTTAGTCAATATTCAGGTTCTAGTAGGATCCCTGAATAGCTGACCTGCATCTCTCTTGAATTTTAGGCTAACCTAACCTCAGTAACTACTTACTCAGTTACTCTGCAAGAAATGTTCCTCTATAGACCCAGCGAAAAAAGTTAGGGTGAACAGGAATGTTTAACAATTTTCACTTGCTCTAATTTTGGTCCTTTTTGGTCACTTTTCAACAAAGTTATCAAACTCAGCCCGGACACCTACTTGGCAAAGCAACTGGGTCAATAGGTCACTAGTTCAACCGGTGGGTCAACTAGTTGGACCGTTCAGATAATTAAATATAAAAATAATTAAGAATAATAATAAATATACTAAAATAAATATAAANGGGTCAATAGGTCACTAGTTCAACCGGTGGGTCAACTAGTTGGACCGTTCACATAATTAAATATAAAAATAATTAAGAATAATAATAAATATACTAAAATAAATATAAATATAGACACCATGCTTTTAAGCATAGTAGATCAAATAGATAAGTAACAGTATAGCACTATGATACGATAATTGTAAGTGATACTATAATATGGCGACCAAAGAAAAATAAAAAGACAAAAAAAATGGAACAAAAGGATAAATATCATAGGTATGCTTCAACATGAAAAGCTTGGAATGCAAATGGGAGCATTATCCCACATCAAGAGGCCATCAGAAACAACACGTAGTTTGCGCCTAATAAAGCCAAACGATAGCCACGTCCTTTCTACTTACGTGGCATGGCATGGATCATAGCCTTAGATTTCGAAGCCTTGTAAGTGGGGAAGTTAGTCAAAATATTTAATTTTAGGAGAAAACTGATTGTAGTATTAACAAAAAAGACTGATTTAGATTTGTTTGAACTGTCCGGTTTATTTGGTTTTTATAACACCCCCCTGTTTTAGCTGGGTCTGTGATGGGTCGATTTTTCAAACGATCTAATTCGTAAACTGGTTCGGTTTAGCCACCGGTTTACCAGTTTTCTGGGTTAACCCACTGGGCCAGGTTTGATAACTATGTTTTTCAAGGATAACATCCATCCGAGGGCATTTTTGTCATTTCATCTTAAGGCTACTCATTTCAAATGTTGGATTCAAACAAAGTTCGTTGATGCTGAAAATTTTCGCAGAGTGGAGACACTTGGGATCTGTAAAAGGTGCAAGAAATACAGGTTCTGGAGGTAAGGGGACATTACTGTGGCAGACTAATGTTATCTGACACTTAGTCAGATTTTGTGAGCAATAGGACGGAATGAATGTAATCACTGAGTCTTATATGGTTTTCGTGCTTCGTGTCTGGTTTGCTAGTTGTGTACCTTGTTCATGGAGATGTTTCTCCTTTTATGGGTGCAAATTTGAGGCTGTAAGTTTGGTAACTAGCTTCCGAATTCGTGGGAGTGTTCCTAGTTTTTAGTCATGAATCATGATAATTTCCATATTTATCTAATGTGGGAATCTTCATTCTATGACTTCCCAGCTATATTGATTCCTAGGATGAGTCTATGCCCTCATAAAGGCCTCCCTTGGGTTCTGGATTTGGACTCTTCATGTTGGACTCTCATTGCCATAGCTATATCTGGGTAGATGAAATCCCCCACGTCATGCCCTCTATTTCCAAGGCATGACATGGATGGAAGAAGGAAATCGCTGGGACCAGCTCACCTCCGCTTATCTGACCCAAGGACTAAGAAGGCTGTTGAACTTAACTAAGCTTGTATGGCATTTTTTAACAAACTGATTGGTACTGTGCTAGATGGAAAGTCCTTAAATATGTTGTTGGCTTCCGCAATCCCCCTCCTCTTCCCTTCTCGACTAAGAGATGGGGTTGACCTTCCGCCAGACAACTCTTCTGATTGGCTTGAGTTGACTCCTCTCGCCCCCAGTCATCAGATCAGAATCTGGTCGCCGAAATCCATAAGATAAGGCTTTGGCTACCCCCCAAGTTGGAAGTCAAGGGGGGGATGAAGGTCTCCTTGCATCCTAGCCTCCGCTGGTTGTCTAGACCAGACGTATGACTAACGTCTTTCTCTCCTCAGTTATTGTTGATGTTTCTAGTCTCTTTGGGAGGTGTGGGGAAATTGTTGGTTCCATGACCACAACTTTTTGCTTTACAGCTCGCAAGTTTTGGGTGGGTTTTAGAGAAGAGAAATGTGAAGTTGATGGCAGAGCTTTTGACTGACTCTCTTTGACCAGTGTACTTTTGATGTTTGCTATGGGACATGGTATTGTTTTGGTACCAGAGATATGATCACAGGAAGGGGAAATTTTGAAGAAGAATCTATGGCCGCCCACAAATGGCGTGCCCCCCCCTCTCTCTCTCTCTCTCTCCACACACACACACACACACACACATATACATATATATATTTGGTTATAAGAATCACAATTACATAAATACAAACTCTTAGATATCCATTTTCATTTTGTTCCATTGCTTAGAAGATTTTACTTTACCTAAAGCTTTACCAACAGATAATAAAGCACGATCTGGACTAAGACGAGCCATGAGAGAAAAAATTTCAAAATAATCCACCTCAAATGCCTGAGTTATAAACTAGACATTATTTTAAATGTGCAACAACATCGTGTGGATTACAGTTTCAAAATGTGAACTCAATACTCAACTCTACTAAAGAAACTCATGTCCTAACATTTTTTTCAGTCGATTACATAAATCTGTTTTGTCATTTGTGCTTTATTAAGGGCTATACTTTTTGTTAAACCGTAAGTTATGATATCTTTGTGTGGTATTTTATTAAAGTTAAGTTCGGTGAACTTCTTTCCCTTCATTGGCAGTAGCACATAAAAGGAGATAATGTGAGGGAGAATGGACTTGGGTGGTTTAGATATATCTAGAAGTGACTTACTACAACAGCCATCTTAACATTCTATCAATCTTTGAATATGTTGTTTCTTAGTTGCCCAACACTCTGCACTATAAAACATAGCGGGTCTTATGATCGTTGTATATAACTTTTCTTTTATCTTGAAGGGTATGCTTATCACATAATACACCAGATATATTCCCATCATGCTATAATTTTATGAGTAAATTGTCATCAATCTCACTCTCCCTATGGATAATTAACCCTTAATATCAAAAGTATTTACACTTTGGTATTTTTTGATGTTCAATTTTTACTTCTTTCCAGTTTGAATTCCTTCTTTTACTAATGTTACATTCTATATATTCATTTTTAGTCCTACTTATCTTAAATTCTTTTGATCTAGAGCCTCTCACTAGATTTCGAGTTTATTATTAGTTCTTTTTTACCTTTATCAAATAATTCTTTATCATTTGCAAATAAAATATATCATAGGAGCTCATTCTGAATGTGTCTAGCAAAATATTTATATAAGCCTACAGTGATTCAAAATTCATTAGTCTATCTTGTAGTTTTGTGTACATATTCTTAGTCATAACAATATTCTCCAAAACCCTTTGTAATATATCTCAAGAGACTCCATTATATGACTCAAGTTACAAGAACTTTGGATGAAGGGAGGATAAGGGTATTAAGAAAAGTGATTTTCCAAGGATGTCCTTTTCTAAGTCTATAAAAACCATATGAATATTCTGATTTCCTCTCTATACATTTTCATTAACCTCTGAAACAAGTATATAGTTTCAGGCATAAATCCAAATTGATTCTTAGATACCTTTGTTTCAAACCTTAATTTTTGCTCGGTCATTCTTGTCCAAAAGTTTCATTGTATTGTTCATTACTTTAATAATTGATAGTTATTACAACTTTGTATCTCTCTCTAATTCTTATATATAGGTTCTAAAATTCACTTCCTCTCCTCATCATATTTTCTTTGTCGTTAAAATTTTATTAATAATTTAGTTGACCACAATATCCTAACATCCCCTAATTTTCCTAACATATATATCGTCAGGTCCTAAAGTTTTTCCTATCTTCATTTCTTTAATGCCTCTTAACCTCGAATGTCCTTATTCTACATAAAAATGTTTTTTCTCTAATCTCCCCATGATTTCTGTTTTTTTTGAAATCTAAGCTCCTTATATGATTTTTATTTAGTAACTTTTTAAAGTAATTCAACTTTTTTCTTAATTTCTTCAAAAGGGAACCAAAACCCTAGAATCTTCATTCTCAATGTACTTAATATGATTAGAATATCTAGTTTTCCTTTTTTGTAATTTAACGAGTTCATATATACTTTTCTCTATATGTTTTATGACTAATTTAGAGTAAAGACGAACATATGCTTTGTACTTACCCTCTCATGACTTCTTTTTACTTCTTTACTTGCACGTTTATAAGATTTAATGTTCTCATTGTTTTTAGTTATTCTCATGTTTTATACTCTCTTTTTGCTTTTGCTACAATTTGGACCTCATCATTCTACCACCAAGTTTCTCGCTGATGACCAGTCAGCTCTTGATTCTCCAAGAGCCTCTATCGATTCTTTTTTAATATGTTCTACTATTGTATTCCACACTTTATTTGTTTATTCTATTAAATTCCACATTACTCTTAGTATTTTTTTCCTTAAAAAAGTCTATGTTTTCACCTTTCAGATTCTGCCATGCAGTTCTTGGATTTTTAATGTCTTTTTTTAATGTGAGGTTGAGCTCTCTCATGGAATGACCTTACAATCCTTACATGATCTACAAACCTCTTGTCTAGTGAAGAAAAAAATCTATTTGATATCTATTTATTCCACTTTTAGAAGTTATTAAATGTTCATCCCTCTTTTTAGAATACGTAGTTGGTATCATAAAATTATATGCATAGCAAAATCTAAGACAAAATCTCCAATATTATTCCTATCTCCAAATCCATGTTTACTTCCTCATGTCCAACGCGATCCTTTCCTATGTGGCCATTAAAGTCTCCTCCAATAGGAGAAATTACTCTCATTAGCTCTTCCATATCCTCCCAAAATTAAGTTTTAACGTGTTCACGTCTGTGCGTTAGAAGCATCAAAGTTCTAACAAGAAGAAGTTTTGCAACCCTATTTTGCTAAATATATGTACAGTGCCTTGAGATTAATATTAAGATTGTAAAGAGCTTTTCACATATTCCTAGGGGTGACAATCGAATCGTGTTGTGTCGGGTCATTGCAGGTTCGTGTCGAACATTAGTCAACCCTAACTTAACCCATTTAACTAATCCTGTCATGTCGAGTTGATCTGTTTATTTTCGTGTTGTGTTCGTGCTGACCCACATAAATTTTGAATAAAAAATTTAACTTTATTATTCTATTTTCACTTAATTGAATTCATGCCCATATTTTTTCTACAAACTAAAAATTAACTTAATAAACAACATAATAATAATAATAATAATAATAATAAATTAATAAAAATATCTTTTTTATACAATAATTATATTAGTGCTTAATAAATAGTTACAAATAACTAACATTTTATTTCTATAATACTATTTAAACATGTTAATTTTGTGTTACCATACAAAAGAGAAAATGGAGAAAGTGTTCATTCTAAAATAAACGGGTTGATTGTGTTAATTTCGGGTTTGGCGGGTTACACCTAAACATGACCCATTTGTATTTCGTGTTCGCATGTTGGGTTATTTTCGAATTCGTGTCTAGTTATAACCGAGTTTGAGTCGTGTCATTGTATTAAGTCAAAAATTGTCACCCCTACATATTCCAATTCATTATCATGACTTAATATACAAATTGAACAACTAAATTGATTTTTACCATCAACATGAAATCAATTGGAAATTGAAAATTGTCCTTGAGGAATTTTCATTAGAATTGTCAAGTCATTCTACAACACTCATCAACAAAATAGACAAAATAGCCAAGTCATTCATGGAAACTTCTTGCATGTCTTCCAACATTAGAGCACAAAAAATTGCCAGCTCTTAACATTCGAAATTGATTGAGGTTTTTTACTCTTTCCAGATCTGCAAAACCATTGAACTAGTTGAAGCTGGTGAAATCCAACGTAACATACTTCAGTGTATTATTATATCTCTTAACTGTTTGTAGAACAACCAAATTCACCCTCAACTTTCTTTGAACAAATGAAAGACAAATGTTTATAGCCCATGCAAATGAAAAATATTGATCATCTAGCATTGTTTGGAAGCATTGCAAGTATATGCTAAATGATGGTCGGATTGCAATACTAAAGTTGATGAACTCCTATAACACATTCAATGCATTACAATCAAAATGACTTTCAACTTCTCTTTATGTTACAATAGAAAGATTAAAGAAAATTTAGAGTGGGCTCAATAAAAGTAAGTGGTTTAGTGCTAAACAATCTTGTATTGGTGGCAGAAAATAAGCAAAAACTAAGATAATTCTTTTGTCTAGATGGACTTGTGCTACTCGGAACCGTCCTAAAAGGGTTGGATTATTTGTTATTCAGACCAAGAGGAATGCCTAATCAACAATAACACTCTATGGTGCTTTCCTAAATGACAAGTTTTAGATTCTAAGTTTGACAAAAGACATAATCATCAATTTAAAAATGTCAAAGATTGATAGCCTAAACAACAATGACAAACCACTCTAGTAAGAAAAGCCACAACTATAAGATTTGGAACTAGCAAAGGTAATTCTTAGTGCCATATTGTCCTCTTTATTTCTTGTTGATGAGAAACACAAGAAGGTAGCAAATTACCAGCAATTGAATTTAGCTTAGCAATATAGACTATGAGTGACAAATCAAGGCAAGCACTGGTTCACTTTTTCCCTGACCAATCAACACAACAGGACCAACCATCAAGTACAGAAACCTGATATGAATGAGAGTTACACTTACTTGGAAAGGGATGCACAGATGTGTGTGTGTGTCTGTGTGCGTGAGAGAGAAAGAGAGAGAGAGAGAGAGAGAGAGAGAGAGGATGGTTCTAACCACATCACCAGATACTTAGATACTTGAAATTACAAATTTAGCACATCATAACACATACAATGTCACATACAATCTTACAATTACTAAGTGATTATGACTTTTTATGCTTGAGGATAGATTTGTAGTTTTGCTCTAGGTGTGTGTGTAGATGTGATAATATTTCTTTTTCCAACCCTCAGCCTATTTTTTCGAAATAGCCCCTTTTGAACCTGTATTAAAATAGAAAGGGGCCATAGTGTAGTGTTAGTGGTGAAAGTTTTATTTGACAACCATAAAGTTGTGGCTCCTAGTCTGAGAGGGTAACCACTTGGTGGAAGGAATTCAAAAAGTTTGGCAAGTACTCATCCTGCCCTTCCGTACACCCTTGATTAAGATGGACCTGTTTAGATAATGGCTCCCTCTCCCCCTTCTTTTGAGTTGGCTGACTTGGAGCATACCTACTTGGCTTGCCTGTCGTGGTACTTTTATGTTGTCAAATCCCTTTTGGGTACAGCTGTCCCTTTGGAAGCTGTGGTTTCATCTTATTCTTTCCATTCACCTATTTCGGACTTAAATTGTTTTACCGAGTGGCCTTTGGGAGCACTTATAATGTGAAACTTTGTATTACTTGCGGACATAGATGATCACTTGCCAAATCAGGGGTGCAATTGATGAGCCATTGAATTTCAGTGGAGGAGACTTCAGCTGAGATCATCTATAAGCATATTTGATGCTCCTAATATGCCAGCTGTGAGCACAACGCTCTGTGTCATAATAGAACCAAAGAAGAGAAATTGACTGCCAATTTCGACCATTGGGAAAACTTGTTTTGATATCTATTTATAACGTCAAACGATTATAATTGCCTATTTTTTCCCAACACATGTTTTTTTGGTAAAATATCATGTAGTTATTTTGCATTCTGAAATCACTCCTACTCTGCAAGTATTAGGTGATTAACCAAAGCAACGTTTGACCTGTCTCCTGTTTTGTTGCTAGGAATCCTCTGTTGCTGGAGCAGGCAAGGATGATGCTGAGAAGGAAATTGTCAATATTAACGCAAAAAGTGCTGTAGTTTTTGTCATAACAGCATCCACTTTTCTGCTGCTGCTGTATTTTTTTATGTCGTCTTGGTTCGTCTGGTTGCTGATTGTCCTCTTTTGCATTGGTGGTATTGAGGTATTGTCATTTTTATTATTTCTGTTTTTTGCTAAGTGAAGATAATGATTGTTTGCTAGTGGGAATAAACAACCATCAAGGTTCTAGGTCATGCTTGTTTCTGTCGTTGTTTGATCCTGCTCCTGGTCGAGAGATTGTGCATTGTCTGGTATTGAAAAACTAATTAATTTGGTTAATAATTTTTTTTTATTGATACTTATGCAGTAACGTGCATGTGCCATGGAGAACGAAATTGAATTTCAGAACTCTTCAACAGTGTTTAATTTTCCACATGGCACATTTACAATTTATTATTATGTCCCTTATTGCTATCCTTGCCCTTCAGATTTTGAGCTTCAATATAGTTTTTTGCACATTAATTTCATCTGTTTATCTCTATGGAACTCTGCTGGAAACTTGGCGATCATAAATTTCAAATTAGGCTTGTCAAAAGAAAAAAATTCACAATCCACAGCAATAGTATTTATATTGAATTTGGTTGGTAGCCACCTGATCCAAAAATGAAAGTATGAACCTATCACGTTTGAAGTATATGGGATCTTTAAAATATCCGGTGAAAGGATATGCCAAAACATGATGGAGAAAAGAAGCATGAAGAGAAAAAAACATATTTTTACAGTTTTGATGTTGAAGAAATGGTACTGCTCATATTGACTTTAACTCGTGTTCATATATATCATTTTTCTTTGGTTGTCTTTGATTTCTCTGTTGTTTTTTTTTTTTTGAGAACACATAAGAAGAGACAAGGACTCCTTGCTCACTTTTGAACATGACATTGTTACTACCACGAATAGAGACGAGTGTTATTATTGTCTTACTGTCCACTGGGTTAACTAGTGGAAGAGTTGCAGAGAATTGGTAAAGAGAAAATTTTCTTTGCTTACTTGTCCTTAAACTTGCCACCCATGTGTATTTTTAGTAACAAAGTCTAATAAGAATGTATATGTAAATTTGTGAAAGCTACTAATAAGGTAAACACATTAAAAATATTATAATTGAAGAGACAAATTATGGACAGCCCTGTGACATGGACTCAGCTTTTTGGCCAAGCCACCCAAATAACACAATACAACACTGACACAGGTCTGGCATCTATCTAACATGGTCACTTTCACCGTCGCACAAGCCACAGTAATGATGATGCTCAAGAAGAAGTAGAAAGATGTATCAATTTAAGTTGATGCAATTAGGGCTCTTGATCCTTTAGAAAGATGTATGAATTTAAGTTGATGCAATTAGGGCTCTTGATTCTTTTGAAAGATGTATCAATTTAAGTTGATGCAACTAGGGTTCTTGATTCTTTAGTCCACCATTCCATCACAACTTGTATTTCATAACACTCGAAGCAAAATTCTTGATCAGTGTTTGATCGATTAGGATCTTGATGTTGTGGGGCTGTAATTGGGATTCAATGAATGATGTGCTTTCTTGTTTGGGCTTCATTGTAAAGCAGGCTATGTGTAGCTAAAAGTCAGGCTAAAGGGATGGGTTTCACCTGAAACCCCTTTTATATAATGTAACTTTTTATTCTATACTGAGTTATCATCTATGTCATAGCCTTCACCATAAAACTCATTATTGGCATCCATCATTGTGCCTCTAACACCCTCAACCCCTTTCCCTTTCTCAACTCCTTTCCCTTTGTTAACACCAACAAATTCGACGTCACGATCCACAAAATTATCATACAATTCGTCATCAAGCATGTTGCATTCACTATTATAAAACTCTTCATACTTAGTGGACGACCCTTCTGAGTATGAATCATTCTCATCAGAACTTCCAGATTCTTCATTTGCATTCTCAACATCACATGCTTTTGAACACTGCTCATTCACTTGGTTTGTCTCGATGCCAGCTTCTTTCTATGTTGTATCACAGTTTGATTCAACTTGACTTCGGATACACAAATCTGACTTACTGTGCTGAACATAAACATCAATTAACCATGTCCAATGTCTGCTAATCAGTTTCTAACATTTTCCATCCATCACTAGTTCTAAGGTGGAATCTAGTGAGGTCAGAGTATCCCAGTCCCACAACCTTTTTAACACATTGTCCAACTCAATAAAAGAAAGCTGTTAGTATCACACATATCTGTGTGATCTATCTTCTTGTCAATATAAGGTTTGTTACTCATAATACCCAATCTACCACCATGATGCAAGCGTAGAGTAAAACACCCTGAAAGATCATCTACATATACCACCAAAAGGCCGACAAGCCACACATTATTTCATCTACCCCACCATATTACAAAACAACCATTAATCATAAACAAAAAAGAGCAAGACTCTGACAACAAATAGACAAGAAGGTCCACTAACAATAATTTACCAAGACTTTGACACAAACAAACAAAACATAAAATATCATAAAAAAAAAATAATAGCACACACATCCTCCCATAAAAAAAAATGGTCCCAACACAACGTCACAATCAATCCACAATGAACCCCACAACGCCAACACAATTACACAAAAAAAAAAAACACAACCAACACACGAAGAACAAGATTACCATAGCATGACACATCGCACACGGGGAACAAGATTACATGGCGCATCGCAACAAGGTCGTGAGTCGTTGATCGCTTCTCTAAATAACTACGACATTTTTTATTCTTCAAGCTACCCAACCTAAAACAAATGATTGAAAAATCAAGATCCAGGTCTTTGATCTTTCTATCCCAAACCAGGCAATTGAAAAACCCTATACTAAGATCTTTGATCTATCTCTCCCAGACCAAGTGAATGAAAAGCCTCAGATTTTTTGTTTTCTCTACACGAGGTGTTGCCATGTGCAAGTCACATGGGAGTTCATCAGGTGATTTGATAGTAAATCCCTTGTATATAATCACGTGTTTTGTATGTGATCACAAAATAGACGGACGCTTAAACAAAAATAAGGTGGTGGACTAGATTGCAACTTTTTTCCTTCTTTGAGGGTGCAATTTGGGAAAATTAATCTTTTGAGTTGTAATCTAAGAATTTTGTTATCTTTCAAGGGGCAAAGTGGTATTTTCCTTATGATTAATTACTAATAATAAGCTTCAAATGAGAAGACCTGAAGCTTGTCTTTCTTCGCATGGGTGTGTTATGTGTTAGGGCAATCGTGAAAGTGTTAATCATTTATTTTTGCATTGCCTTTTATTTGTGGAATATATTGTTTTCATGAGTAAGATTGGGCTGGATCACTCCTTGGTCCTTTTCAACTTTGTTGGTGGAGGATTTTAAAGGAATTGGACATCATCATAAAGGACTTACACTATGGAATTGTGCCATCCTTGCTACAGTTTGGGTTATTTGGTTGCAGAAGAATGCTCGGATTGTTGAAGATAGATGTGAGATGGTGGGAGGTTTATGGAACCAAATATTTCTCTTGGCTTCGTTTTGGGCCTTAGTCATAAAGGACTTTGAAGGAATACCACTCTTTTGTATCTTTGTCGGATGGAGAGTCGTTTGTGACTTATTGTCTTTGGGATCATGCATGGGTTGTCTTTTGATTTTTGGTAGTTGTATTGTTTTTGCATTTTGTATTTTAAGTAGTGTTATCAGAATTGGACGGGCCGGTTGGACCATTAATCGGGACTTAAACCGGTCTGGTTCTTAAGTTAGACCATATATGTAATTAAATCGTCTTTAAACCGCACCGGCCGGTTTTAGATAAAACCAGTGAACTGGAATTTTTTTGCAAACCAGACGGTTGGATTTCAACTGATATAAAAAAAATAAAAATTCATCAACAGTCGTCTTCCCCTTTCCCACTATTACTTGTCACCTCCACCATAACTACAAAAGTACAAATTCTCCATTGCCCACACCAATCCATTACCTACACAAATTACAGAGAATTAAGAGAGTGAGGTAGAGAATTAGAGAGAGAGAGGGAGAGGAAAATAGAGAATTAGAACCCAATTCCCAATTCAAAGTTAATTCTTTCTCAGCGGTGCATCAGGACTTCATTAGTTGTGGTTGATCATCCATGAAGCTTCTTCAACTGTGCATTAAAGAGAGAGAGAGAACTCGAGCTTGATTTGTCCCAATGAGTATGGTAGGGGTAGTGATGTGCATGAGTTTTGGGGGGTTTTGTGCTTTGTGTGTGCAATGGTTTGAGAGAGGAATTGATATGTTGAGAGAAATATATGGTTTTGAGAGACAAAGATTTGTGGGTTTTGAGGAGGATGAATTTGGTCTAGACAATTGAATTAGAGAGACAAAGAGAAAAGGAAAAAGGAAAAAAAAAAGAAGATTTGATGTTTAATGTGGCAGACACGTGATTTTTAATATTTATATTTTAGGGATTAAATTGACCAAATTAAAATTTCAAGGACCAAAATGTAATGAGTGACAATCCTCAAGGATTATTGATACTATTTATCTTATGTTTTATAATATTTGTAGTTGTTTTTATTTTTTTATTATATGATTGGTTTGACCAGTTGAACTAGTGAACCATTGACTCAGTCTCCTTGCCGGTTCGATGAACGCTCCAGTTCTGATAACACTAATTTTGAGGTTTGGATTGCTTGCCTACCCACTTTTATTTTGATGTGCTTTGCTTCTATTAAAATTAATAAAATATTGGTTTTTCATAAAAAAAGTGTGCGCGCAATATTTGCATTAATTGTTTTGATGTTGGACACATTTTGGCTCGTCTCTATATCAGCTTGGAACAACTGTGCTGTTCGTAATATATCAACTTTCATGCTAGTTCTTGCTTCAGCATGAAAGTTCCATTTGAGGAAAGGATAACATACTAAGATACTTTATGTTTTATCGAGCCCTGTTTTGGTCTTTGGTTTGATGGTTGTATGTGCTAAAACTCTAGTACATGCCATTTTGTTTCTCATCCCAATCTTTTGGAAAACCTTAGGTTTACGTCTTTTGTTAGATCTCAACTTCTTCATTATGATCTTCCTAGTCATTCATATAGGAGCAATAGTTGTTTCATACCTCTTCGTTGTTTTGATATTCTATATTCAAATGTCGGGTTTTTGGTTCCGAGTCTTATCCTATTACGTTACTTTGAACGGAATCTTAGCCCACCTCACTTTTTTATTTTATTTTATTACATACAATAAGGGCATAAGCGAACTAGAGGGATTTCTTTTTAACTAGTAGCCGAGTGTAAGCAAAATTCCTTTCTTCAACAAATTTGTGGTTGAGTCAATAGCATGCCTTGGGTCGGGAATCTTTGCTCTTTTATTTTGCATTTCTGCAACCTGCGTTCTAACCGTGCCTTTCTATATCGCAAACATGCATGACGCCAGCTATAATGGTTGAAAATAGGGGGTCAACCAAGACCCCCCTAATAAAGTTTTTTTTGTTTGATAAAGCTAATGATTTGTTTAGATAACTTTGGACCAGATTAAACCCTTTAAATTAGTCGATCTTACAAGATCGATTAGGTAGATTGGTTGGGAAAGGGTGATGAGCGGAGAAAAGAATTATTGAGATATAGATTATACTATTTGGTCGAGACAAATGAGTGGCTATGGAGCATGTTCTGGAGGAGATTGATCCTTCCTTGGGTCACTTTAGTCAGAAAGTGGAAGGCCTGCTGTCAAGACTTCATTTTGGGAGTTTGAACTCCATCCCATTTCAACCAAAAATACCTTGTCAAAGAATCTAACATTCCTTCCTTATGAGTGGAAATCCAATCCTGCCTTGGTTTAGTTTTCACGCGGCTGACTTCACCTTTAATAACATGCATCTCAAATTAGTCTAAGTCATATAAAGAGTCTTTATACGAAGATGAAAAGTAGATCGATTAACTCATACCACCTAATATTTCATCAAGAACATTTGTGATTGACGAAGGAATGGTCTTCTCTTCTAAGGAGGGTTCTGCTAGGTGAAGGGCCGAAGGATGGAACTTGCAAAGTCGATCATGCACATGTCGTGTAAGCCATTAGTGGGGCACAAAAATGGAACTTCAATTGGATGCGGGTATCAAATACCGTGGCTAAAATGTCCAGTGGATTACTGGTCCTGACGAATGTGCGGTTAGCTTTTACCATTAGAAGAGCAAAGGCCTGCTGAATAGTAGGATGAACCAATGTGAATGAGTATAAGCTTTGTTGCCTGAATATGAGATGGTGGCAATTGAGAGGTTGTTGCTGAGCATCAGTCACATGTTGTGAAGTATAACTCACATCCAAACCAAGCATATGATTGGGGAACGGGGCAATGCCCATGAAGCTCTGGAGGTACATTAGTCCAATCTCTAGAAATGTATCCCCACCTGATGCTCGCACCTGAGTCCATGTGACATGCATGGAAAGAATTTGAGAAATGATATGAAGAGTGTTTGATCTGCAGTTTAACTTAAGTGGATTAAATGTGGACGTTTAAACCCACAAATTTCTCTTTGGTTGCTTGCTCCATGTGGGATTTTCCCCCTAATTCCTGCGCATTAGGCTGCTGCTTGGTTTTTTGATTCGAGGATAGTCATTACTTCCAAAGGTAGCGTACCATCAGGGTCCTCTGAGCCTGTATTCAGTTATATTGTTGGATGAGAGTATGAATAGCAACTCTGCAACAATGGAAAGTTTGGTGTCTTTATTTCTTTACTTCCAATTGTTAATGAGTATATTTTAGAGAGACCATTTCAGACACTTTCTTTTTTTCCTGCCCATTGAGATTGAAACTGGTAGTAACTGGTCATGTTTAATTGATTATTGCATCTTGCTTATTGAAATTGCTTTTTCATCCAGGGAATGCATACTTGTATCGTATCTCTGGTGTCAAGGTAAACTTGGAGTCTTTTGAATTGAAGGTTAAATTGATCAGCTGTTGACTTTGTTGTTGATAAACTCTATATACTCTGTTCCTTAATTTGCTTTAATTTTTTGAGCAGCAAATGCAAAAACTGTGGGCGCAAGACACTGAATATGCCACTTTTTGGGGAGGTTTCTGTTCTTTCTCTTGTTGCCTTGTTGTTTTGCTTGGCATTTGCCATTTTCTGGGCTGCAAACCGGAAGGCATCATATTCTTGGGTTGGTCAGGATATTCTTGTAAGCTTCGTACTTTTCCTGCCTAGTTCGTTCATGTATTTTGTTTTTTACTAATCACTATTGCCAACTTGCATATTTTTGTCTCGCATCTTGTGCTCAATGTTGCTTGTGTTGTTGCCTGATTGCACTTCGAGAACAGTATTAAGCAATCATATAAAGCATGTTATTTTTCCTTTCATGTTGAAACAGTCACAGTTCCCCATGCATTTACCTACATAGATGAATGTACCTATATTTTATGTGCTTTTAAATCGAATCTAATGTTCAAATTTCTCCCCCTTGAGAATTTTTCTTCTACAGGCCTTTTCCAATTTTCGTCAAACGGTATTGGTGGGTCCCTTGCAAATTGGTAGTACTGTCCTAACCGGGAATTCATTGCATATGCTGTGATTGCAGAAAATAATGTAGTTGGATAAAACTAAATACAATCGACACACCCAGAGATCATATCCAGTTGTTGTGTATACCTTAGAGGACCCAATTGTGCCTTTTATTTTGATGGTTGACATCTAATAGTTGAACATTTTTTTGGGCACCATTTTGATACTCTTTTTTTGATAATAATTCATTTGACAACTTACAAGGTGCTTTGAGAGGAATACAATTATCCCATATACTTAGTTGGTATGCTGTCCTGGCTTGTGATTCGTTTTAAAACTCTTATTTTGGACCACATTTAGTATTCTATGTTATATATTTATATTATACATTCTCTACGCATATCTAATTAACATTTATTTCATATTTCTGATAGGTGTTTAAGACCGAAAATCATCTAAAACAATGTTCTGACTAGTGTTTGTGAATAATAAAAGTTAATGCTTGCTTTTTGTATTGCGACAACAATTGAAATCAGAACCAGACTAAATATGAGTTTGAAGATCACCAAAGTAAAGAAATAAATAATATTCACAGTAATAACTTGGGCTTAGGGTTACAAAAAGGTTACAATTTGGGGTCAGAAATTTTAAGAAATCTACCATGACCTTGGAACTTGGTATGCATGGATTACTTGCAATTTCGTTATCCTTAGGTTGGATGAGTGCTGAACTTTTGTGCTGCAAGATTTAGAGGTCTAAGGCTAAAGAATCGTTCTCTCTTGGATGTTTTACATACGCAACGGCCAAGGACCTGTGCCACAATTTAGACATTTCTATACAAGGCTAGTGTGAGGAAAGCCATGCTGATGCTTGTAGACCAAAGTAATGCCATCCATCACTGTTGGTCCTGCCTATTCTTCATGTTGGGAGGGTAGATTGGATATAGACTTAACAACTAACATATATATATATATATATATTTTTTTTTTTTTTTCTGAAATAGCCGGATTATAACCTAGTGATTCTACTACTTTTGTGTGCCCTTCTTTGGCATGTGTATTATGTCATTAGTGATTTCTTTCTTCTTTTTTTTTTCAAACAAGGAAAATTTTATTGATATGCTCCAAAAAATTGCACAAAAAAAGGAACAATTTGTCCCTATAAAAAATAACAGCTCCTAACAATCTGTCAAAACAAAAAAAGAATCAACAAATCAAGAGATTCTTCTTTATCAAAACTGGAAGATTATGCTGGTCTTGCATCAGAAGCAGCTTTGCTTGGCTGGGCAGAGGAACAGAAACTGTAAAGTCCATTGAGCTTCTCCCTTGAACAGCCTGCTTTGCCAGACAACCAGCAACACTGTTAGCCTCCCAGTACACATGAGCAATCTGATAATCAAGCCTCCTCAATATCACTGATATTTGATTAAAAATTCCCCAAAATTTCCAACCACAGTCAACCTCTCCCAACACCATTCGGACCAAAATCTGTGAATCCAATTCAATATATATATCCTACATACTCCCAGCCCATACCTTTCCACCATTCTTAAGCCATCTAACAGTGCCATAAATTCTGCATTCATATTAGAACCCTTACCATAAAAAAAGGAAGCTGCTGCTAAGACCATATGTCCACTAGGATTACGCAGAATAATCCCTCCACCTAACAGCCCAGGATTACCTTGAGCAGTCCCATCCACATTCAATTTCAGAGTTCCAGCTGGAGGAAAAATCCACCTTATCCATAGCGCTTTAGTCAGAATTTTATAAGGAACCTCCACCTTCAAAACTTGTAGCAAATCCCTCCCCCTCCCTTTTAAATCTTCTGACTTCTTAGGTTTCATACCACAAACTTGGTATCTCAGAGAACTAATAATTCTGATCAAAACAGAATAAGAATACATCCTAACCTCCTCAAATCTCCTCCTTCATTTGTGTTTTCTTCTTTCCCAGTTTGTTTCAGTTAAAAATTGGTCGTCTCCCGCTGTTTGCTTTCTTGTTCTTCACTTTTTCTTCCCCATTACTTAAGAATTGCTTGGTGCCAAACACATTTCATATGCCTTTATTCTGTTCAACTTAGGGCTTGAAAATTTTATCTTTCCTTTGAAACTTTCCATCTATTCTAATGGTTTAGTTGGAGGATAACATTGCTAATTAGTTGTTTACTACCAACTTAGGAAGCACGATAAGGGATATGGATACGACGAAATGACAAAATATTAAAAAGTAGATATATATATATACAGTGTTATTTAACAATATAAAAAATAAACAAATATTTTAGTTTGATACTTTGATTACTCATTTCAAGTTTTAACTTTACAAATACAAAATATTTAAATGCAACTAAAATAATAAACATCTAATATTGTAAATAGACAAGATATTAAATATTGAACATTATTACATTTTAAAAAAAATTAAGTGACATAATTACGTCATCTAAATGGAAAGCTAGCAAATGTGGGCTCAACTACCACCGTGATTGATTAATATCACCACTAAACAGAACACTTGCAAATTAATTAATCAATTTGATTAACCAAGAAAATTGATTAACAAGAGCATTACCACAAAACAGAGCATTCAACATCATCTAATCATAACAAGACGTATTACCATATGATACTGTCAGATGAATCAATCAATTTATTTTATACATTAACATATATTACATCATCTCTGCTAGCTTCTCTCGCCTGGTTCGCTTCGTCACCTAGGTTCGCTTTTTTCTCGCTTTACTTAATCTCCCTTCGCCTTGGTTGGTCACCTTGACTAAGGCTCGCTTTGCTTTGCTCACTTTTCACAACACTATATGAGGGATTAAGAGATAAAACACGTCCCAACGCATCTTCACTAACCAAGAACTACTAGATCACCCCTTTCATTTTGGGGGTGACTGATAGATCGTACCATTTCAATTTATTTTGATGAGATAGGGGCTGCTTAAAGAACATGTGTCACCATTCGAGAGTACTCAACTTTACTTAGCATTTAATTGCAATAACTTCATTGGCTTTGCACAACCTATAAAAACCCGTTATTTGGGCCAAACAAATTGTTAAAAAAAAATAATTTTTGTGACATATGTGATGCATACCAAATGAACATGTTGGAATAATGTATCTCCATTTGCATGATTCGTGTTTTCTATACAATCCACCTCATTAAGTATAGGACAAATGCATCCACCGTGGAGATATGCATATCCAAGGTGTACTTGACAAGTATCCAATAATGATAAATATTTTATTAATTATTTGTTGGATGCTTGCAAAAAGTATAAATTCATATAGATGACATAGAAACTGGTTAATGGTGTTTTGAATCCAATCTTCTTTGTAATTCTAAAGTTGAACATGTGTCATCATTTGAGAGTGCTCAACTTTTACTTAGCATTTAATTCCAGTAACTTCATTGGCTTTGACATAAGCCATGAAATCCCATTATTCACGCGGAACAAATTGTAAAAAAGTTGATAAATCTTGTGACACATGATGCACGTCCAAATGAACATGTTGGAATTATGAATCTCCATTTGTATGATTCATGTTTTCTATACAACCAAGCTCACTAAGTATAAGTCAAATGTATCAATTGTGGAGATACACATATCCAAGATGTGCTCGATAAGTATCCAACAATAATAAATATTTTATTAATTATTGGATGCATGCGAAAAGTATCCGATACATATATGTGAGTATCCGATAAGTATCGGTATCCAATACGTACGTCACCTTGAGCAAAGTTTCCGTGCTTCATAGCTACCAACTCAATCTATGGCTTTGCTTTGAGCTTCCACGACTAAAGATTTTGAAGAAATTTTGTTCGTTTTGATTAAGGATGCCATATTTTTCTCCTTTGTTTATATAGAGGACTCATTATCCTCTCATGTACTGTTTAATATCTCCTATTAAAAATTCTCTTTTTTCCTATTAAATAAAAAAAGCTATCTACTACCATGTTTCCACTCAATTTGGGGGAGTAGACATCAATTATGTCAATGAATCTTTCCTGTTTTTTGAGTTTAAAATCCACCATATTGCTCTGGACATCAATAATGAATGTTTCCTATTTTAAGCTTATACTTGTCTATTATATACATAACATTTGCAATCTGGCATTACAACTTGTTCGAACATTGATATGGATGACGGTTAAGTTTTTAGAAATTTTTGGGAGAGTGGCAACACTTATTTCTGTATCACCTAAAGGGTTTTTAGAAACCACACCTGGAATGTAGGAATGCATCTGGTGTCTTGTGTGGTTGAGATATATCTCTTAGGTGAAAGGTAAGGTCTACAAGACAATGATTAAACCAACAATGATTTGTGGCAACCCTGTTTAGAAACTAAGTGTAGCTGAAATGTACAGGTAAAACTTGATGTGTATTAAAACAAAAGGTTAGGATTAGAATGGCCACCTCAATAAACCAAAAAGTGTCATGCATATTCGTAATGTGACAGCTTGTGACTTTCTTCTTGTCAGGGTATCTCTTTGATGATAACAGTCTTGCAGATGGCTCGGTTGAATAATATTAAGGTACTTGAACATGTGATTTTTTTGTTCCTAAATTTTCACTTTTTTCATCTGATATTTGTCGTATTTATCCAATTTCAGGTTGCTACAGTACTTCTCTGTTGTGCCTTTCTTTATGACATCTTTTGGGTTTTCCTATCGCCATTAATATTTCATAACAGTGTTATGATTGCGGTAAGTTCTTATTTCCTTTACTACATTTTTTTGCTTGTATTTTGCAGGTGCAGTTGGTTGTTAAATGTTTTGTGGAGTTGTGTCTTCGCTTGCCATTTAATCACAAATATTATCAAAAAATTTAGGACTTAGATTAAATGTCGTGTGATGCTTGGACACTTTTATGTACTCTACCATGTGATTCTGCTGTCCTTCATCAGTCAACAGTTGGCTTGTTTCTAGAAGAACTAAATATATGTGTGAAAGATTTACAGTAATTGTACTCACTACAAAAGAATAAGAACTTAATGTTGTGTTTCTCCAGTTCTATATGCACAATTTAATAGAAGCAAATACTTCTATTAGTAGGGGAGAGTCGAGTGACAATCATGTCGTGTTGTGGTGAGTAAATGTCATCTCGAAGTTAACCTTGTCAAAATTGTCCAATCAACTAATCATGCCAAAGCACTTAACCCTGACAAGATTTGCCTATTACAAGGCTAAGACGATACGATTTGTTTGACCTTTAGAATTTTTAGAAATAAGTTTTGTTGATCTAAACATGTACTGGTCAAAATTGGAGTCAAATGTAAGTAATTGATATATAATTAAAAATAACATGATTAGACAGCTTCCAATGGTCATTTCTGTGTCACAAAGATGGGTTAGATAAGTTTGCAGGTTCGTGTTCGAGTTCATGTAAATGTCATAAACATGTCAAGCGGGTTGATACTCTCAAATCTGAGCAAGAGAAGTTTAATAGATGTGTCAACCTGAACATGACATGATTTACTAATTGGGTTAAAATCTATAAAACCTAGCTTCGTATCAGTTCAAGTCATGTTGAAATTGCCACTCCTACTTATGAGGCATAATTCAGAGAGACTAGAAACACAATGGGGGACCAAGTGCCGAGCTCTCAGAGCAGTCTTATCTCTGCGTGTGGAGAGACCATTTCCATGAGATAGTAACAACATTTGTGCCACCATTCTAGAATTTTTTGTGCCACCATTAGATAGTAACAAGTAACAACATAATGATGGCTCAAAAAAGCTTAAGATCCTGTTTTGGACTAGGTCTTAGCCCTTTATTTGTTAAGGTTCACCCCACTTTGTAGGGACGTTATGAATTTTGTGAAGCATCTTGCCACCGAAAATTTGTTATTTTTCTTCTTGAGTAACATGCTAATTAAAGTTCCCAAAAAAATTTGTAATCTACAGTTAATTAATTAACCAAGAAGCACAAAAAATGACGTTGATGGGCAGTTACTCCTAAAAGATCATACCCCTGGCATGTCAAAGTGCAACAAAAGGGGCACACTAATCCACAATGTCAGTTGAAGTCTGTCAATAATTTCAAACTTCTGCGAAAATGTTCAGTATTTTCATCAAATTCTTTTCAGGCCTAATAATGAGCAAGTAGAAATTGAATTACAATGATTGTGTATCCTTGCTTTAGGGCTCGTAAATTATTGTAATTTTAGGATCTGATAAGATGTAAGAAGGTGACAGGGTTTTGAATTTGAAACATGGAAACAAATAGCAAGGTTTTAGTAACTGTCCAGATTCCAGAACTTCTGGTTGTGTTAGGTTGAGTTCTTAGGGAGAAAAGGATTGGACTTTGCAGTATGAACATTATAGTGGCAATGATGATCAGTTGAAATGACTGAGGTTTTTTAGACCGGGCTCCATTTTAGTTGGAAAAAAGGAGGAGAAAAGAGGAAATGAAGAGTCACACACAGCCCACCCTGTGGTTATAACAAATTACACAATCGTAATTCTCATTGAATATCTCTGTTGAATGAATCGCATTACACATAGCTACGGGCTAAAAGACTTTCCTGTTTTGATAAAGACCAACACCTGAAATTTGGAAACTTGCAATATTTGGCTACTCAGAATATTCTATACCAGCTGAGACTCCAATTATAATGCCAATAACATTACCTGATCCAATTTGTGACCTATGGACTATGACTACCACTCATTTCAAATAACTGGTTATATGAACAATGTACCTTTGACAGCAAAAAATAAATAAAACTGGAATAAATCTAACCTGCAACATATGAAGTCATAATAAAAATTAAAAGCTCTAACTTGGCGAGAACACTAATCTTTAAGCCAAAAAGAATTCTGACGTTTCATAGGTCTACTGCTTTCGCTTTAGGCTTCCACAGCCTGTCTTATTTTTCCAATCAGTCAATAGATGTTCAAGATGCTAGTTTGCTTGATTAGTTCTTTCAAGTGCCTTTGAAACTAATCTTGGTTGCGTCCAGCTTCTGATAACTTGAGTCTAGCGCAAAGATGTGAGCATACTTTTGAACGGGTGCAGATTCTGCTCCTGAGAAGTTGTTTAGCAGCCCTAAGAGGAGATACTATTACCTCGAACTTGTCTAATCTGTGAATTTATTCTTTGACTTTTGAGGAGTGCTTTAAAGTCTTCCCATCTGCAGGTATTGGTGATGAGGATTCAATCCAAACAACCACTCTTGAGACAAATCATTTTTGTCCCGAAAAGAGGAACAATAATTACACGGAAACTAATCCATGTCAATTTTTTTTCTTTTGTGGCAATGTGGAAAACAGGAAATTCCTTATGGGCCTTAGTGACACAAAATTGAAATAATGCTCTCTTGGATTTCATAAAGCAAATGGATTTTTCTTATTTTTTTTCTCTTCCGTCTTGTCAATCCTTTCTCTCTCTGTAAGTTGCCAGTAAAGATGCTCTGAATAATCTCTTACTCGTACTCCTTGCACCACAACTTACTATAGATCCCTTGATATTTGAAAGAGGTAAATGATGAGTGCATATGTATTCTAGTTTTTTATTTGTGTTGCATATACTCTGGAAATTACATGAATTTTTATGCAGGATGTCTGCTTAGCCCTCGAATTATATGTGTTACGTTTAAGCTAGCCTACTTTTTAATCTGGCAAAAATTGATATGGTTTTAGTTGCTTTATATATAGGTGGCTCGGGGTGACAACAGTGGTGGAGAATCCATTCCAATGCTTTTGAGATTTCCTCGAATTTCTGATCCTTGGGGAGGCTATGATATGATTGGCTTTGGTGACATCCTTTTTCCTGGTTTGCTTGTATCATTTACTTTTAGGTATTGGGCCCAATCCTTCAACCTCCATATAAGTGACAATTAACATTTTACGACAGTGGTATGAAAAATCTTTTAACATATAGTTTTTAACTTCTTTGTCAAAAAAATTAAAAATAAAAATATCTGCAAAGGATATTGTGACCAGAGGCAAAGTCTTACATATTTTGAATTATGTAGACCAGACTTTCTGCCTATCTGAAAGATGTACTTTATCTTCACTCTCTTAGGGCAGGGTCCTGTAATTATGAACTATTATTAATGAAAGAGACCCAAAAAACAAGAAAAAACAAAAAAACCAAAAAAAGAAAGAAAGAAAAGTGGCATGTGATGTTGAGGGTTGTATCCTTATCCACATTGGAGTTTGGGATGAGTTAGTGACACTTAAATCTTGAAACAAAATACATCATGAGTACCCCACAGAATACAAAGTTTTTGAAGCTGAGTGGATGCAATAGCATCCATGTATCTATTCCTGATTCTGATAAGGACAGAAGTATAAATGTGCTAAAAATAATTGAAATGATATGTAGTGGTGCATATACAACCTTAATTGGTATCAATTTTATAAGATGTCAGATATGGTCTCCCAGTCTTGCCAATCAACCACCATGCTGTTGAAATCTCCACACATTGATTACCAATAGGTCAAAAACCCATAATACCATAATCATGAATATAGGACCAAAACTTTATAGACAAACATCGAATCATCATCCCACTTCTCAACTCCTAAAACTCTGCTACAACCAAAAGAACCACANTTTTTTTTCTTTTGTGGCAATGTGGAAAACAGGAAATTCCTTATGGGCCTTAGTGACACAAAATTGAAATAATGCTCTCTTGGATTTCATAAAGCAAATGGATTTTTCTTATTTTTTTTCTCTTCCGTCTTGTCAATCCTTTCTCTCTCTGTAAGTTGCCAGTAAAGATGCTCTGAATAATCTCTTACTCGTACTCCTTGCACCACAACTTACTATAGATCCCTTGATATTTGAAAGAGGTAAATGATGAGTGCATATGTATTCTAGTTTTTTATTTGTGTTGCATATACTCTGGAAATTACATGAATTTTTATGCAGGATGTCTGCTTAGCCCTCGAATTATATGTGTTACGTTTAAGCTAGCCTACTTTTTAATCTGGCAAAAATTGATATGGTTTTAGTTGCTTTATATATAGGTGGCTCGGGGTGACAACAGTGGTGGAGAATCCATTCCAATGCTTTTGAGATTTCCTCGAATTTCTGATCCTTGGGGAGGCTATGATATGATTGGCTTTGGTGACATCCTTTTTCCTGGTTTGCTTGTATCATTTACTTTTAGGTATTGGGCCCAATCCTTCAACCTCCATATAAGTGACAATTAACATTTTACGACAGTGGTATGAAAAATCTTTTAACATATAGTTTTTAACTTCTTTGTCAAAAAAATTAAAAATAAAAATATCTGCAAAGGATATTGTGACCAGAGGCAAAGTCTTACATATTTTGAATTATGTAGACCAGACTTTCTGCCTATCTGAAAGATGTACTTTATCTTCACTCTCTTAGGGCAGGGTCCTGTAATTATGAACTATTATTAATGAAAGAGACCCAAAAAACAAGAAAAAACAAAAAAACCAAAAAAAGAAAGAAAGAAAAGTGGCATGTGATGTTGAGGGTTGTATCCTTATCCACATTGGAGTTTGGGATGAGTTAGTGACACTTAAATCTTGAAACAAAATACATCATGAGTACCCCACAGAATACAAAGTTTTTGAAGCTGAGTGGATGCAATAGCATCCATGTATCTATTCCTGATTCTGATAAGGACAGAAGTATAAATGTGCTAAAAATAATTGAAATGATATGTAGTGGTGCATATACAACCTTAATTGGTATCAATTTTATAAGATGTCAGATATGGTCTCCCAGTCTTGCCAATCAACCACCATGCTGTTGAAATCTCCACACATTGATTACCAATAGGTCAAAAACCCATAATACCATAATCATGAATATAGGACCAAAACTTTATAGACAAACATCGAATCATCATCCCACTTCTCAACTCCTAAAACTCTGCTACAACCAAAAGAACCACAACCAACATAGTTGGATCAGATTTTCTTCCCATAACAATCGTCTCCCAATAGACACGAACTGATTCCTCAAAACAACAATTTCTTACGAACACATAAATCATTTTATTCCAAATAAACAGTGTCTGTTTCAGAAATTCTCTTAAGCAACTTACATGCACGGGCAACTGCAAAAAATTAAAACACATGGCCCCTAAACTTAATCCCATACAAATGTGGCCCAAAACTGTCAACTATGACATGCCCATGAAGCAAAATCCCAACATTTTCAGCCCAAATGGCTGAAAAACGGTGATAAAATATATCAGCTTTAAGGGTCGTGTTTTTAGGTAAATGGTGGTATATGAAATTTGTTGAGCATTCATGAACTTTACTTTGCCCTTCCACTAATAGCAATAGATAGGGAGAGGGAGAATGATTGGATTTTACTTTTAAAAAATAATAACAAAAGAGATACATGCTAAGGAAACCACAACATTAATTGAAAAAATAGGTTTGTAGAAAATGTAATTCACATACACTATGTCACAGTGATAGTGGAGGAGTGTAACTTTTGATTGCAACTAGTTTCATTGAATCATGGGCAAGAGTTTGGTCTCCGTAACCTTTGATTGCAACTAGTTTCATTGAATCATGGGCAAGAGTTTGGTCTTTGATTGAATTGCATGTCAATCAGTGGCTTAAAAAAAGGAAATGACAGAGAGAGGTCAAGGGGGCAAAGGAAAAAGACAAGAGAGAGAGAGTATAGACTATAGAGGTGGAAGGAGGAATAAAGAAGCATGAGAGAGAGATGTCAGAAGTGGGAGACATCAAAGGTTAGACTATTTCGACTATTTTTGTTGATTGGCTTTCAAATTCAAATTAAAATGATTATTTTTGTATGTCAAAATATATATATATATATATTAAGGATGAGGGGTAAAAGGCATGTGAAGTACTACCACATTCCACATAGGAAGACAAGGTTTCTAAAATCAGGATCCTACACAGGATTGATGGGGAGGCTAAAGGATTGGGATCGTGGGATCGGATCGAGAATCATAGTATCCTACAAACTCAGAAATGGTTACTGAAAATATATTTACCAATACAATAATTTTAATAATAGGAAAAAAAATAAAGCCTATGTGCAAAATGTAGAAATTTTATGAAAAACTTATAGAACTTAGTGATATGATTAAAACTTGAGAAATTACGATGAGGTTATTAAAGTGGGTAGAAAATTTGACGTGATTTGTTAATTTCGTAGGATTTTGCAAGATCAACTAGAGAATTTGATTGTTTTCATGTTAATTTTAAAAAGAGATGGAGACAAAGTAGAGATGGGAAAAGTCAAGAGAAGGTCGAATAAACAACTCCGGATGGTAGACAACGAAAAAAAAAAAATAAGCATAGGAGAATGAAAATGAAAAATATCTCTGCCTTTGTTTTTTGGTACATTGGAAAGAAATATCTCTACCTTTGAGCACTCACCCAGGGAGAAGGCAACAAAACCTAACCTTTATTTTTAACTTTTAAACTAGAGATGAATGAATGAATAGAGCTCTTCGCAATTCACAAGTGTAGTGATTAGCATATGGGATAAGCACAAGAACTGGGTCTTTTCTTGTTAAAGCACTAAATACAGACTTAGCCAGCACAATAGCTGGCACCTAACAAATTAACACCGCAACTTGGATTAATGAATTTGAAATTAGGGTTAGGATCCTTTGATCCCGCATGATCTGTATCTCAATCCATTAATATTTTATGCAAAAACGTTTTCTGAAGAAACTTAGATCGACTTACCAATATTGGATCATAGGATATGAATCAGAATTTTGATAACCACGTAAGATAGAGAATGAACTTGGTGTGAGGAATCAGGATTAAGTTTGGTGGACTTTTCAAAGCATATTACATTGCTATAGGGTATAAAGATGCGGACAGAATAAATCTTAATTTTTTTTCCCACTAATAATGACGATGATACGATATGTCCTATAATATAAAGAAGAAGCTTTTAAAATTTAAGTGGGACCTCATTGTCATCAAGATGTGTGTTTAACACTACTAACTATGATGCTTTAGAATTTATTGTCTTTCGTTTTACATAAACTATGATCATTTCACATTTATTTTTTTTTTCTGTGGCCATTCTGAAATATTTGTGGATTTGTTTATTGTAGATTTGACAAAATTAATAAGAAGGGCTTACTGAGTGGATACTTCCTTTGGTTGACCATTGGCTATGGTTTTGGTTAGTATTCCTTCGTTATTTTTTGGCACTGTAGTTTTTTGCATATATATGAGGCTGATTTTTGTCTACCATAAAATTGGTGCTTATATGAATAATGAACTATAGTCAAACTTAACTTAAACAATTGCTATTGTTATATTAAGGGAGAAAGGGAAAGAGGGACTTGTCTCCTCTTGGTGTCTGTGCTAATAAAAAAAAGTCTAGTATTTCTGTTTCTGTTACCTTGAATGAATTACAATAGAAGTTTAAACTAACGAATTAAACGTTAGTTTTCGAGCAATAGAAATGTCCCCTTGCAGTTGGACCCCCCCAGCCCACATTCTCGAACATGCAGTGCTGCCATCCATATTATAGTTTCTTTTAAATAACATGTGATGTCATGGTATAGCTTGACATTGTCCATTTCTCCTCCAAGAATACGTGCACTCCCTATCAAATATGACTTTCTTCATGAAGAAAGGGCTGCGATTGTCACTGATGGAAGGTGGTGCAGCATGTATTCATGAAGAAAGGGTTGCGATTGTCGCTGATGGAAGGAGAAGAAATCAAGAATAGAAAAAAAAAAAAGAGATATCGAACCCTCACACGGATTAGGTCAAGAAACACAAATTCTCCACAGAGAAACAATGTTATGAATATCCCACTCTCTAATGAAATAATAGGGATTATATCGACATTTATAGGTTAAGTCTCCTTGCAAAACAAAAAATTACTCTTCTATTAAAATTCTATAATAATTTCTTTATCAAACTCTCAAATTACTCTACTATTAAAAGTTTGTTCAGATCCCATACGAGATAAAATTATTATTTTAATATAACACTGTCCAAAACAATCATAATAAGATAAATGCCAGCTAACCAAACAACCTAGTAAATAATACAAATAATTTAATCTTAATCTTCAAGTTGATGTTTATCCAATTCATTTTTGATATCCATCAATTCTCCCCGGCTGAAAAACAAGAGTTATAGTACCAAGAGACAAGAGTACTCCAAGGGATTCGACCTCAGTTGGCGAAGAACATCTTTTATCTTGACAGCATAGGAATTAGATCTCCCTTTAATGAGATAATATCAGCTATCACAATGGGAGAAATCTATACATTGACTCTCCATAACCTTCATAGTTTGTTCCACACAAGGATAGTAATGAAGAAAGTATAAGAATTGGTGGTGAAAAAGTAGGAACCCTACGTAAAGAAACTACTTTCAAAACTTCTAATTTTTGTGGTGTTTGTATAATTGTAAAAAATTGTGATTTCAGAAACTTTTGCGGCCAATTATATAATTTAAAAAATTTTAGGGGTTCAAATATGGAATTGCAAAAAAAATTTGGGGTGTTTGTAGAATTTTAAAATGTTTTGAGGGGTGTTTATATAATCTTAGAAGTATTAGAGTTCAGTATGTTTGACCTTTTTTTTCTCAAATTGGGTTAAATCTGGAACATAACTGTTGTGATTGCGATTTGCCAGGCAATTGATTTGGACTTTTTGTTGAATGCTACTATGAGTAAGCAGTGGAGATGAAGTGCAAAAAGGAACCCGGATTAGATTTCAGTTCATTGAGAATAGACAGAAGAAGTTAATGCAATAGTGGCTCAAGTTTGGGCACTATATACCAAATTGATGCAATACGGGAAGAAGTAATCGGAAAATGGCAAAAGAAGAAGAGATATTGAACCTTCACAAGGATTAAATCAAGAAACACAAATTCTTCACAAAGAAACAATTTAATCAATATTACTCTCTCTAATGCAATAGTAGAGATTACATCTATATTTAGCTAAATCTCCCATGAAAACAAAAATTGTTTTATTAAAATTCTATAATAATTTCTTAATCAAATTCTCATATTGCTTTCCTGTTATATCTTTGTCTAAATCTCCTAACGAGATAAAATTATTCTGCTAATAAAACTCTTATCCAACAAATCGTAATAAAATAAATACTAGCTAACCAAACAACCTAGTAAATTATAAAAATAAATAAATGTTAGTCTTCAACTTGATGATTATCCAATTTCTTTTCGATCTACATCACACATATGAACTGAAAACACTTAAAAGAACAAAAACCAAGGGGCCTGCCACTGGAGATTGCCGGAGGGCTCAATTATGTATAATTGTTAAAGGATTGTATCTAGTAGGTGTAATCTCGTTGCAGTGCACCAACTGTTATGGATGGAACTTCCAAACATCTAAATTTTCTTCTTCGTATTCGTATTCGTTTTTTTATTACTACCACCACCACCACCACTTCCACTATCACCACCACTTCTTGTCTACTCTCTCTACTATTATGTTTATTGCCACAAGTGTGCAACAAAAATAATGATAATATTGGGCCATAATTAGTTCTTATTACTATTATTATTTATGTTATTGTTATGTTATTAGTTTTATTATCATTTACACTTGAGATCTAAAACAGAGGGGTCCCCCAATAGAGATTGCCAGAGGGCTTAATTATTCATAATTTTTTTTTTCCCGTTAGACAATTGTATCCAGTTAGTGTAATCTCATTGCACTGCACTAACAGTAATGGATGCTATTCAGTGTGCTATCTCTCCAAACCCGTCGGCACTTCCAAACATCAAAATCTTCTTATTCTTCATATTTGTATATTATTACTACTACCACCACCACCACTAGTTATCCGCTATCTCTACTATTGTGTCTAGTGCTACTTTGCCACGAGTGTGCCACAAAAATGATGATAATAGTGGGCCATAATTTACTCATTATTATTATTTATATTATTACTCTCTTATTATTTTTATTATCATTTATACTTGAGACCAAAAACCAAGTGACCCACCAATGGAGATTGCTGAAGGGCTCTATTCTGTCTAATTGTTAGAGAATTGTATCCGGTTAGTGTAATCTCATAGCAGTGCACTACAAGTTATGGGTGCTATTCAGTATGCATCTCTTCAAACCCGATGGCACTTCCATACGGCTAAATTTTCTTCTTCTTCTTCTTCATATTCGTGTTCACATTCGTGTTCGTATTTATATTTGCAGTATTATTACTACTACCACCACTAGTTGTCTACTATCGCTACGATTATGTCTAGTGCTACTTTGCCGTAATACTGTCACAAAAATGATATGATAATAGTTGGCCATAATTTATTACTATTATTATTATGTTATTATTTTTATTATCATTACTACTGCTACTACTACTGTTATAATGTTTAGGGTTACTTGGATAAAACATATAAATGAAAAACTAAGCAGATCATTTTGAATAATCAACCAGAAAAAATTGGAAACTTCAACTAATCATCCCTTTTGGGTAGCCCCACTTTGTCCCAAAAGGGAAATGAAAGGGAGAAAACAGAGAGAAAAAAAGAATCTTCCCGGAAAATCCAATCGAACACCCATGGATGTTTTTTTTTTCTGCTAATAACATCCATGGATTTTGTTTTTTTGCTGGTGACAGCCATGGATGTTCCATTTGTTTCAACCTAAGTTTTTCCCAAATAAAAGGTTCCATCATTTATTGTATTTGGTTGTATGGAACAAATGTCATTTGCAACGAGGGTCAAGTTGATACACAGGGTATTGATACAGGTGTGCATTAGGATAATTTATTTGCTATGCAATGGGAATAGACTTAGTATGTTTATGTCTGGTTGTTTTGGAATTTTTGGTATGTCAAAAGAGAGGGTTTGATCTAATGGAGCCTGAAACAAAAGTTGGTTGTTCTTACGAGATCTAATGGAGTGTACACTTATGAAATCGGGATGAGAGCATTGAAAGTGCAGAAAAAACAAGGTGAGTGCAGAGAGAGAAGGAAGTGAATGGTTACTGAAAGTTGAGACAACAAAGATAGAGAGAGTGTGAGTACTCTGGTACTTTGGCAGGTGAAAAAGAAAAGAAGGGAGAAATCTGGTGTGAGAAGAAAGGGTTAAGTATGTGATGAGATAGGAGATATGACTTGGTCTGGACGATGCTTCAAACCTTACCATTAGAGAATCATGGAAGGACCAAAAAAAAGAAGAAAGCAGTATAGAAAGATCCAGCAACTGAGGCCTTGTGAAAGGCTCTCAAGAAGCCAAAGTAAAATATGGCAGAACAACAATAAGAGATCCCCGGGCAAACTGCATGTGCTATTCATGATAGGAAAATCAGTGCAATATTCATGATACTCATTGGTGGAATTAGTGAGATGAAAACTGGATGAAGTGCTTATGTTGTTTTTACCGAGATGTGCTTTGTTTGTTAGCACCCTGGTTGTTAATATGACCTTATGATGCTATTGGAGCAAATTGACTGGGAACACAACTTGAAGATGACACTGGAGGACAGAAGAAACTATGTGAATATTTTCTATCGTAGCCTTTCTTGCAACTAAATCCCATGTTATCTTCACCTATAAGAATTAAACCTAAGAATTTGGCTGAATTTGCAAATCCTGGGGAAATTATTGATGCAATGCGTTAGAAAAGTCACATTGTTTACAGAGTTGCCCTTGCAAGTCCTTGCGAAAGTTTTCAGAACCTTTATGGAGTGAAGCACTAAATTCCTCTAATGAAGTATTTATTTTGGACATTTCCTGATTAAAAGTGTTGAGTGGTTCTGCAAATGCTTGAATTTGTTATCCAGCAAGTCATTGTCATCCTAGCTTAATTGGAAGACAATTCAGTGGTGCCCCAGGTATAACTTTAACTTTACCAATAAAGGGACTTGTATTAATAATATTTATGTGATTTTCTAAACTGATTAGCTGCACTTAAGGAAAATGTGTGCAATGTGTGGAGTTTCTTCCTGACTTTAATTTTGGGGACTCACGGTTGAAAAAGCTAGTGTTTTTTCGTGTGTGGAGGGGAGTGGGTTGCAGAGGTGATGTGTTAGAAGAAACGTCACTAACGAAGGTTTTTTCATACTGCAGGCCTGATGTTTACTTATCTAGGCTTCTATCTAATGGATGGACATGGTCAACCTGCTCTACTCTACCTTGTTCCGTGTACATTAGGTATGGTCTGTGTGACAGCAATGTTGGGATGATGCTGCATTCTATTGTCTCGGGTGGGAGTAATATGTTTCCGTGTTATCCTTAATTTTCCATCCTTTTTATTTTGTACTACAGGGGTTGCTGTCATATTGGGTTTGGTGAGAGGTGAGCTGAGGCACTTGTGGACTTATGGCACAGAATCTCCCCCATCAGCGCAAGCCCCTGGAGAAGCTTGATACATCAATTCAAGAGAAGAANTCTCCACAGAGAAACAATGTTATGAATATCCCACTCTCTAATGAAATAATAGGGATTATATCGACATTTATAGGTTAAGTCTCCTTGCAAAACAAAAAATTACTCTTCTATTAAAATTCTATAATAATTTCTTTATCAAACTCTCAAATTACTCTACTATTAAAAGTTTGTTCAGATCCCATACGAGATAAAATTATTATTTTAATATAACACTGTCCAAAACAATCATAATAAGATAAATGCCAGCTAACCAAACAACCTAGTAAATAATACAAATAATTTAATCTTAATCTTCAAGTTGATGTTTATCCAATTCATTTTTGATATCCATCAATTCTCCCCGGCTGAAAAACAAGAGTTATAGTACCAAGAGACAAGAGTACTCCAAGGGATTCGACCTCAGTTGGCGAAGAACATCTTTTATCTTGACAGCATAGGAATTAGATCTCCCTTTAATGAGATAATATCAGCTATCACAATGGGAGAAATCTATACATTGACTCTCCATAACCTTCATAGTTTGTTCCACACAAGGATAGTAATGAAGAAAGTATAAGAATTGGTGGTGAAAAAGTAGGAACCCTACGTAAAGAAACTACTTTCAAAACTTCTAATTTTTGTGGTGTTTGTATAATTGTAAAAAATTGTGATTTCAGAAACTTTTGCGGCCAATTATATAATTTAAAAAATTTTAGGGGTTCAAATATGGAATTGCAAAAAAAATTTGGGGTGTTTGTAGAATTTTAAAATGTTTTGAGGGGTGTTTATATAATCTTAGAAGTATTAGAGTTCAGTATGTTTGACCTTTTTTTTCTCAAATTGGGTTAAATCTGGAACATAACTGTTGTGATTGCGATTTGCCAGGCAATTGATTTGGACTTTTTGTTGAATGCTACTATGAGTAAGCAGTGGAGATGAAGTGCAAAAAGGAACCCGGATTAGATTTCAGTTCATTGAGAATAGACAGAAGAAGTTAATGCAATAGTGGCTCAAGTTTGGGCACTATATACCAAATTGATGCAATACGGGAAGAAGTAATCGGAAAATGGCAAAAGAAGAAGAGATATTGAACCTTCACAAGGATTAAATCAAGAAACACAAATTCTTCACAAAGAAACAATTTAATCAATATTACTCTCTCTAATGCAATAGTAGAGATTACATCTATATTTAGCTAAATCTCCCATGAAAACAAAAATTGTTTTATTAAAATTCTATAATAATTTCTTAATCAAATTCTCATATTGCTTTCCTGTTATATCTTTGTCTAAATCTCCTAACGAGATAAAATTATTCTGCTAATAAAACTCTTATCCAACAAATCGTAATAAAATAAATACTAGCTAACCAAACAACCTAGTAAATTATAAAAATAAATAAATGTTAGTCTTCAGCTTGATGTTTATCCAATTTCTTTTCGATCTACATCACACATATGAACTGAAAACACTTAAAAGAACAAAAACCAAGGGGCCTGCCACTGGAGATTGCCGGAGGGCTCAATTATGTATAATTGTTAAAGGATTGTATCTAGTAGGTGTAATCTCGTTGCAGTGCACCAACTGTTATGGATGGAACTTCCAAACATCTAAATTTTCTTCTTCGTATTCGTATTCGTTTTTTTATTACTACCACCACCACCACCACTTCCACTATCACCACCACTTCTTGTCTACTCTCTCTACTATTATGTTTATTGCCACAAGTGTGCAACAAAAATAATGATAATATTGGGCCATAATTAGTTCTTATTACTATTATTATTTATGTTATTGTTATGTTATTAGTTTTATTATCATTTACACTTGAGATCTAAAACAGAGGGGTCCCCCAATAGAGATTGCCAGAGGGCTTAATTATTCATAATTTTTTTTTTCCCGTTAGACAATTGTATCCAGTTAGTGTAATCTCATTGCACTGCACTAACAGTAATGGATGCTATTCAGTGTGCTATCTCTCCAAACCCGTCGGCACTTCCAAACATCAAAATCTTCTTATTCTTCATATTTGTATATTATTACTACTACCACCACCACCACTAGTTATCCGCTATCTCTACTATTGTGTCTAGTGCTACTTTGCCACGAGTGTGCCACAAAAATGATGATAATAGTGGGCCATAATTTACTCATTATTATTATTTATATTATTACTCTCTTATTATTTTTATTATCATTTATACTTGAGACCAAAAACCAAGTGACCCACCAATGGAGATTGCTGAAGGGCTCTATTCTGTCTAATTGTTAGAGAATTGTATCCGGTTAGTGTAATCTCATAGCAGTGCACTACAAGTTATGGGTGCTATTCAGTATGCATCTCTTCAAACCCGATGGCACTTCCATACGGCTAAATTTTCTTCTTCTTCTTCTTCATATTCGTGTTCACATTCGTGTTCGTATTTATATTTGCAGTATTATTACTACTACCACCACTAGTTGTCTACTATCGCTACGATTATGTCTAGTGCTACTTTGCCGTAATACTGTCACAAAAATGATATGATAATAGTTGGCCATAATTTATTACTATTATTATTATGTTATTATTTTTATTATCATTACTACTGCTACTACTACTGTTATAATGTTTAGGGTTACTTGGATAAAACATATAAATGAAAAACTAAGCAGATCATTTTGAATAATCAACCAGAAAAAATTGGAAACTTCAACTAATCATCCCTTTTGGGTAGCCCCACTTTGTCCCAAAAGGGAAATGAAAGGGAGAAAACAGAGAAAACAGTGAGAAAAAAAGAATCTTCCCGGAAAATCCAATCGAACACCCATGGATGTTTTTTTTTTCTGCTAATAACATCCATGGATTTTGTTTTTTTGCTGGTGACAGCCATGGATGTTCCATTTGTTTCAACCTAAGTTTTTCCCAAATAAAAGGTTCCATCATTTATTGTATTTGGTTGTATGGAACAAATGTCATTTGCAACGAGGGTCAAGTTGATACACAGGGTATTGATACAGGTGTGCATTAGGATAATTTATTTGCTATGCAATGGGAATAGACTTAGTATGTTTATGTCTGGTTGTTTTGGAATTTTTGGTATGTCAAAAGAGAGGGTTTGATCTAATGGAGCCTGAAACAAAAGTTGGTTGTTCTTACGAGATCTAATGGAGTGTACACTTATGAAATCGGGATGAGAGCATTGAAAGTGCAGAAAAAACAAGGTGAGTGCAGAGAGAGAAGGAAGTGAATGGTTACTGAAAGTTGAGACAACAAAGATAGAGAGAGTGTGAGTACTCTGGTACTTTGGCAGGTGAAAAAGAAAAGAAGGGAGAAATCTGGTGTGAGAAGAAAGGGTTAAGTATGTGATGAGATAGGAGATATGACTTGGTCTGGACGATGCTTCAAACCTTACCATTAGAGAATCATGGAAGGACCAAAAAAAAGAAGAAAGCAGTATAGAAAGATCCAGCAACTGAGGCCTTGTGAAAGGCTCTCAAGAAGCCAAAGTAAAATATGGCAGAACAACAATAAGAGATCCCCGGGCAAACTGCATGTGCTATTCATGATAGGAAAATCAGTGCAATATTCATGATACTCATTGGTGGAATTAGTGAGATGAAAACTGGATGAAGTGCTTATGTTGTTTTTACCGAGATGTGCTTTGTTTGTTAGCACCCTGGTTGTTAATATGACCTTATGATGCTATTGGAGCAAATTGACTGGGAACACAACTTGAAGATGACACTGGAGGACAGAAGAAACTATGTGAATATTTTCTATCGTAGCCTTTCTTGCAACTAAATCCCATGTTATCTTCACCTATAAGAATTAAACCTAAGAATTTGGCTGAATTTGCAAATCCTGGGGAAATTATTGATGCAATGCGTTAGAAAAGTCACATTGTTTACAGAGTTGCCCTTGCAAGTCCTTGCGAAAGTTTTCAGAACCTTTATGGAGTGAAGCACTAAATTCCTCTAATGAAGTATTTATTTTGGACATTTCCTGATTAAAAGTGTTGAGTGGTTCTGCAAATGCTTGAATTTGTTATCCAGCAAGTCATTGTCATCCTAGCTTAATTGGAAGACAATTCAGTGGTGCCCCAGGTATAACTTTAACTTTACCAATAAAGGGACTTGTATTAATAATATTTATGTGATTTTCTAAACTGATTAGCTGCACTTAAGGAAAATGTGTGCAATGTGTGGAGTTTCTTCCTGACTTTAATTTTGGGGACTCACGGTTGAAAAAGCTAGTGTTTTTTCGTGTGTGGAGGGGAGTGGGTTGCAGAGGTGATGTGTTAGAAGAAACGTCACTAACGAAGGTTTTTTCATACTGCAGGCCTGATGTTTACTTATCTAGGCTTCTATCTAATGGATGGACATGGTCAACCTGCTCTACTCTACCTTGTTCCGTGTACATTAGGTATGGTCTGTGTGCCAGCAATGTTGGGATGATGCTGCATTCTATTGTCTCGGGTGGGAGTAATATGTTTCCGTGTTATCCTTAATTTTCCATCCTTTTTATTTTGTACTACAGGGGTTGCTGTCATATTGGGTTTGGTGAGAGGTGAGCTGAGGCACTTGTGGACTTATGGCACAGAATCTCCCCCATCAGCGCAAGCCCCTGGAGAAGCTTGATACATCAATTCAAGAGAAGAAGGGTCTGATCTGTACAGACCATTGATCAAAAGGAAATGTTCATATTATTTTCAGTGAGGATGTCAGTTGAATTGGGCTGAAGGGGTGAAATATGTACAGAGTCCGAAAGTCCCTTTGGATTGTTCACCGGAGGGACTAGTTCTCGTGCTCTNTATGTGATGAGATAGGAGATATGACTTGGTCTGGACGATGCTTCAAACCTTACCATTAGAGAATCATGGAAGGACCAAAAAAAAGAAGAAAGCAGTATAGAAAGATCCAGCAACTGAGGCCTTGTGAAAGGCTCTCAAGAAGCCAAAGTAAAATATGGCAGAACAACAATAAGAGATCCCCGGGCAAACTGCATGTGCTATTCATGA